TTTTTAGATAAAATTTATAAAATCTTCTATTAAAAATTATGAAATAAAAATAAAAATTAAAAGCTAAAATCGACAAATTTAAAAAATCTTATTACATACATTAAATGTATAAATTTTAAAATTTTTTTAATAAATTTTGATATAGATATTTTTAATAAAAATATTAATAAAATTTTTATTATTAAATAAGTATCGATTTAGATTTTAATTATAAACAATATTTTTAATAAATTTTTTTATATATTATTAATTTTTATATTAAATTTTATCAATTTATTGATTTAATTTTTTTATTAAATTATTTTAAAAATTTTAAAAATTTTCCTTTAAAAATTTTATATAAATTTTATCTATGTATATATATATATGTTTATATTTATATTTATATATATACACCTAAATCTCCTTGGTGTCGAAAAATCTAAAACCGCTAGTCGACCAAATGGACCAACTTACCAACTATCAGGTTGGTGGCTCTACTAGACTGTTCTTGACTCGACATATTGATAGGACTCCTCACTCCTCAATATAAGCAACAAAAAAAATATAATTAACTATAATCAAACATCCCTAACTTTTCTGGATTTTTGAGGGCAACATACAACAAGAAGCACGGTTGGCAACAATGCCCATTCCGCCATGTCTCCTCCACATCTCTTATCCACACGTGTGCGTCCATCCCCTCTGTCTTTCTTTTCACTTCATGAAATGTGTGCATGTTTATGTACTTGTATAGATTATAGTACGGAGATTATGATAATATCTTGTCTTCTTCTTCCTACACGTTGACGACGAACTTAAGCAAATCTATATAATATATAATACATGTATTTTTCTTTTCCTCCAAACACTTTCATTTTACTTCACAATTTCAGTAGGAAATCGGACACATTCATAATTAACCAATCATGAAAAGCATATTTTTTGGATCTCTTCCAAACCCAGTTTAGCTTATAAGAAATCAATAGAACTTTTTGAAGTTTACTGATTGAAGTGAATAAATAAAAAAGTAAAAAGTGGAGAAAGTGACTTGTTACCAGATGAAAATTGTAAGCATTCATGGGCAACATGTCATTTAGATGTTGGAAATCTTTGTGGTGTGGGAATTAATTGTTGGTGTTTTTGTTTGTTTCTGTGTCGATGGAAACGGTGGAAAGTGGAAACCCATGTAAAAAGCTATTTAGATGGGGATTTTGCAATATTTGTTGGGAAAGTCACGGTATTCCACAAAAACTTGCGATATAGAACAAAGAGTAAAAACAACAACCACTGAAAACCACATTTTTTTTTGGTTACTTCTGTTGCACATAATTTCCGACTCTGATTTCACTATCCCACTCCCTTTTCCTGCTTCTTTCAATCAGTTTAATTTCTTATCCTAAGTTGCAAATATACTATGTGCTAACCATGAAAGGAAAGAAACAGGGGAACTAGCAATTTCGCCATGTCTTTGTGGAATATTGTTTAATTAAGGTATAATAAAAATGATTGTATATTTATATGTATGCAGCAATTTCTTAATTATTATTTTTTATTGTGTTCATCCAAAGGAAATGGGTATATTGAGGGAAAAAAAAAGGTAAAGACAGTCATGGTGTAAAACTATAAACCAGTGGTTTCAACTGTCAAGTTGTCAATTCTTAGAAATTTAGGTTATAATTATAATGCCATTGGAAATCTGATTAAACATGTTATTCCGTTCTTGGAATCTTGAGATTGCTGAAAAGAATTGGAAGCACTGCGAGAACCTTACAGGAAGAAACTGACCTCTGCTGAATAACATGTATTTGATCCTTAGTTTATGCCCTCCAAGTTCACCACACGGGAGCATTTGGCAACCTTGCGGGGGCGGCGGATCGTGGTTCGAAATACCCCGTGCACGCCATTGTACACAGTCGATCGAGACTAGATTTTTTTTTTCTCAGGACAATTCAGACACCAACTTCCTAATTACTTCATTTCCACACCACAATATTCAATCAATTGGGCGCACGTAAAATCACGTGAACAGGTTGTAGTTTGACTGGCAATATCTTTTTGAGTCTCAACCCAACTGGCATTAAGTCAAACTATAGGCCAATATCTAGATGCAAAATAATCATAGTGTTAAAACAATTAATGCAGTATAAACCACAACCAACCCAAGATTATAATAATCTCCCCAAAATTAAGCTGATCTGATTGTATCTTTGCGACACAAACAATTCAAACAATATTTGTTTATACTCCATGCTACTGTACTTAATAGCAAGTGCTACTACTAATTTTGCAAGAAAACAAACTTGTTTTTTGCTGGGTACTTCCTAGAACAAGAGTGTGGCTCCAGTAATAGTGACAGGTGACACTGGACAGTACGAATCACGTGGCAAGTAGATGAGCTAGATGGTATGTAAAACAGGTAGTAGTACTAGTATTATATTTTTGTGCAATAGGGGTGGAGCGCGTGAAGGTTGTGGAGAAGGGGCTATGGTTGGTCCGATGAGAGAAAATCCTTTTTCATTATTTCCCAGACATAACACCTGGCAATGGTTCGATGTGATTGATTTTTTTGTCATTTTCTGGAGTGAAGAAAAGAAAATGGGGAGTGCTGTACTGGACTGCGGGTAGAGGTAAAAAAAAAATGAAAAGATTAAAAATTAGTTTAAAATCATAATATTTGATTTTGATTAAATTTAAACATTAAATGTATATATATTTAATTTAAATTGAATTTTAAATTAAAAGATACAAATTTTAAAAATATTAAATCAAATTATATATTTTAAACTTTTATAAAATAAATATGTTAAAATTTTATTTTAAAATAATATATATAAATAAAAATTTAAAACTGAGAAGACATATATAAATCATAATATACTAGGAGAGAAAGGACAAGAGTGTTGAGCAGTTAAAAATGGCACCCAATGCGCTGGTTGGGAGAATCTGTAGGGGGTCATGTCCTTAGGAAGCACCACAGGAAGGTTCTCATGCCTATTTTCTAGTATCACTTGTTTACCCCGCCGACAACCACTACCTTGTGCATGGTGAATGGTCTTCGTGGTACTCCATCCGTATATATTGTTATTTTTTTCATGCCTCTGCAATTTCCACGATTCTCATGATTCCTTCGTCTGTTTGTTATTTACGTTAAGAAATTACCAGTTAAAAGAGTTCTATTGGGATATTGTCGGCTATGGAAATATATTGGGCCTCTGCCGTTTAGATTTAAATCAAGTTGGGATCCTTGGTTTAGTCTTAAGGCCCAATTTCCTGATAGCAATGCTAGTGTACTATCCCCACACACCCTTTCTAGACAAAAAATTAGGAAAATAATCTCCACAAACTTAGACAATTTGTGGAATATTAAGTTCATATAATACTTCTTTTTTTTTTTTTTGATAAATATCATACTTCCTTTCTCCGTATATAATAATGTTGAAAGTTGAAATTTGTCCATGGGTGGCATCTTTGATCTTTTACCTCATAACAGGGAAGGCCTGTTAAAAATTCAATGCCTAGTCGGAACAAAAAATGAGATCAACAGTTCAACACCATAGCAAAAAGGGTTGCTGTAGCTGGCTCTTAATCTGATTAATTAAAATCTTTGATTATTTTCATTATGTTGTTGCGTCCCAAGGCCCAAAATAGTTGCTCAATTTTAATTTATTCATAATTAAATTGTGCTATGATTCATACTGCATCGGAAGTTAATGGAGTGAAGCAGACACACAGTGAATAACTTTACAGCTTACCTGATTTGACATGGGTGGAAATTTATGTACCTTGATCACAGGCTCCCAACCCGAGGTTGGGACTTGGGAATGTGACAACTGGCATCATGAGAAGATGAAGTCATCGACAAGAAAAAATGCTACTGCTTTACAACAAAAACAATGTGATTTTAAATGCATGGCACCAATGCGTGCAACGTGTGTGATTTTAAAGTTGCGTTCAAACGAATTAGTACGAAACTGGTGACAATACAATAGTTTAAAGTAGAGAACATGAAATTTTCATGATTCCAACAATCCTCGAATGGAATTGCCGAAAACCTTGGCCCAATGCTTCAAAAAAAAAAAAATCTCGCTCCAATGTGTCTACGAAGCTTGGGCCACTCGTCGCAGCGGATTAACGTGGACTTAACCCACCTCGGCTAACCCAAATGTTTGGACCAAAACGTTGTTAAGGTTTTAAATTGTGTTTTAATGGTGTAATGCACAAATTGAGGTCTTCAATGACATTTGCACAATATATATATATATATATATTATAGCATAGGACAGATGGGTATAGCACATGTTTTTAAGAATTCTTTAACTACTTCGTCAAGGAGCTAAGAAAAATATAGTTTTTTTCCTTACAATTTGTGAAAAAATGCAGGAGATAAAAAGAAAGATTAAGGAAGCCATGGGGGAGAGAACTAAAATAAATAATGAATAATAAATGTTTTATAATGAAAAAAATAAAAAATTTATCAAAATATATGATAAACACAACAATATTTTTACTATAAACAATAAATGCTAATAACATTTAAATAATTATAATTATATACCCAATAAAGTTTTTCAAAATTTCAATTGGAATTGCTATATGAATTTTTTTTAGTAGGTTTGCCATTTTATATAATTTAGAAGTTATTATATGAATTTTTAATGTTATATTCTTGATATTAGTTGGCTTTCTAAAAATTTGATTAGATTGATATTAACATATTTTAAATCATAAAAAGTATAAATTATTTTCAAATTTTTGAAAAAATATTTGATCCCAAAACAAAACAACACGTGGGCAAGATTTTTAGTGAAAAATTAAAGTAAAAACTGGAGTGCAAGTTAGCAAGCAAAGAAGGCGGGAGCGCAGGCTATCATTAAATTAAATCCAAAGTTGAATTGGCGGGCGATCCCTCCATTTTTCCATTACACTCAAAAATATCTACCCACCCGAAACTGAAGCGCGATTTACCTTTTATTTCACAGCGCAGCAGAATCTCCCTCCATAAACTTGATTTTCCCAAGATTACCTACCTTGTTCTTCTCCATTTCTTTACTGTTTCCGCTTGGATTCCTCCAAATGGATCACCGGAATAAGCCCCAAACACGCAGAAGCTTGAAGCGGAAGTTGGAGCAAGAATTCGAAGAAGACAAAGCAGATCGATGCAAGGTACCCGTCGTCGCAACCGTCCAGACTCACCAAGATCTCCTCCGCGATGTTCGCCTTCACGTCGATATTCTCAACTCCACCTTCTCCTTTTCAGAAGCCGATCGCGCCGCTGCCAAACGCTCCACTCACTTCCTTTCTGAACTCGCCAAGAACGGTACATTTCAAAATCTTCATTTTCGGTCATTTAGTGTAATGCATATCGGTATTTATTTCTCATTCTATTTATTGGCGATTGTAGAGGATATTGTGAATTTGATTGTGGAGTGCGGGGCCGTTCCTATACTGGTAAAGCATCTTCAAAGGCCACCGCCTTTGGGAGACGGCGAGCCAGTACCATTGGAACATGAAGTGGAGAAAGCTAGTGCGTTTACTCTTGGACTACTTGCGGTGAAGGTAATTTTTGAACTTTCATTTACCCGCTTTACGTTCAATTTTGCAGCAAATTTTTTTTCCTGCTTATATGGTAGTTACTTTGCCTGTTATTTTTATATTAAATAGCCAGAGCATCAACAATTCATAGTTGACGCTGGGGCACTGCCCCATCTCGTGAATCTGTTAAAAAGACATAAGGATGGTTGTAAGTCTGGGGCATTGAATGGACTTATAAGGAAAGCTGCTGATGCAATTACTAGCCTTGCTCATGAAAATGCAGGCATTAAATCCCTCATCAGGTTCGCATGTTTGGATATTTCTTGTTAATTTCCATCAGCATTATTAATTTTCACACCCTTATAGGTCGTTTTTCCATATATAATATTAGGGCTGAGGGTGGGATCCAACCGCTTGTTGAGTTGCTCGATTATCATGATATAAAGGTGCAGAGGGCAGCTGCTGGGGCCTTAAGGACCCTAGCATTTAAGAATGATGAGAATAAGAATCTGGTAAGGTTGTTTTTCCATGTTGCTGTACTATTTTAGGTGTTCTATTGTGGATTTACATTTAGTTAGCGAATTTGCAGATTGTTGAATGCAATGCTCTACCGACCCTCGTACTAATGCTTTGCTTTGAGGATGTTTCCGTACATTATGAAGCGGTTAGTTCTCATCTAAACGTTTTTATTTTAATACACATTTTGGTGAGTTGTTCCCTTTATAAACTGACATCAAGGATGTTCAGGTTGGCGTGATTGGGAACCTTGTCCACTCCTCTCCAAACATAAAGAAAGAGGTTCTTCTTGCCAGAGCACTGCAGCCTGTTATTGGATTACTTAGGTATTGCCGAGTTCTACATTAGGTTTTCACTTGTGCTTAGGAGGATAATCATATTGCACGTACATGCTCATCCTAAAATGTTTATGACTTTGCCAACAGTTCTAGCTGTTTGGAGAGCCAGAGGGAAGCGGCTTTACTCATAGGTCAATTTGCTGCTGCAGATTCTGATTGCAAGGTAGACTGAGATCTTATTTCTAATTTGACACTTAAATTGTGATAATTGCTCTAGCATATGGATTATTATTTAGCTGTTGATGCTTACATTTTAGGTACTTTTGTTACATATGTTTGTGTGTTTATGTAAATGTGTTTTTTTGTTAAAAGTTATGACGATTGGGATCATGCAGGTACACATTGCCCAAAGAGGAGCTGTTCCACCTTTAATTAAAATGCTTCAGTCTTCAGATGTGCAGCTCAAGGAAATGTCTGCATTTGCGCTTGGACGATTGGCTCAGGTTTGTATTTCTTTGCTGTCATTTAGGGTTAAAACTGTTTATCTTGATGGTATTAGAAACAACTGTAAGCATCATGCCTGTGGCAGGACTTAAGTAATCCCATCAATTGTTTAATATCGTATACTATATGAATTTATACTGATGTGCTTATTTTAATTTCTTCCCCAAATGCTTAATTGTTATTTGAAGTACTTTGTTTTCTTTCTGTATACAATTTTTTTTTCTTTTTGCAGGACACACACAATCAGGCTGGAATTGTGCAAAATGGTGGAATAGTGCCATTACTTAGCCTTCTTGGCTCAAAAAGTGGACCTCTGCAACATAATTCTGCATTTGCCCTATATGGCCTTGCTGATAATGAGGTAAAGGTCATTGGTTCACTGTAATATATTTAACTTGAACTGCAATTTTACTCATTGTGAGTCTACTGACGCCTATGGCTTGTCTATTCTGTAGGACAATGTTGTAGATCTTATCAGGACTGGAGGTTGTCAGAAACTCCAGGAAGGGGAGTTCATTGTTCAGGTATGCTTTCCAATTCTTTTGCTTTTAATATGCTGCTGTTTCTTTTTTTTTTGGTTACATTCCTTTACAAAAGGAATTATATATTTTGGTGGTCCGTACATTTTGCCAGTTTGTAATACTTATTAATATACCTTGTAAAAGTGCAGCCAACTAAAGATTGTGTGGCAAAGACATTGAAGAGATTGGAGGAAAAGATTCATGGCCGAGTGAGTTTATTTTTTGCTGTTTTGTGACCTTTTTCTATGTGTCTTTGGAGTTAGGTTGGGCCGCTATTTTGCTAGAGTTAGAAAGTGGTATTTATCCAGTCAGGAGACCATTTACAAGTTATAACTATGGGAGATTAATGCATCATTCTATTGATACTTCCTCTTAAAAGGTTTTGAATCACTTGTTATACCTGATGCGGACAGCAGCCAAGTCTGTTCAAAGACGAGTTGCTCTGGCTCTTGCTCATCTTTGTGCCCCTGATGATCGGAAAACTATATTTATTGACAATAATGGTAAAACAGTTTTCTGTTCCCAATTGTAGTCATCACTTGCTATTGTTGCCCTCCGATTTACGTTTATCAGTTTTTCTGATTTTGGTTTTGCAATTTCTAATTATTTCTCTCTGGATGGTCATCAATTACTTCCAGGACTGGAGTTGCTTCTGGGCCTTCTTGAGTCTACAAGTTTCAAGCAACAACAAGATGGTTCAGCGGCCTTGTATAAGTTGGCCACGAAGGGCACTTCACTCTCATCTGTGGATGCAGCTCCACTATCCCCATCCCCACAGGTATGTTTATGTCTGCTGGTCTATAGGGAGAATATTCTCACATTCACATTGGAAATCTTTTGGTAACATAGGATGATATGGAATTATGGATGCACATGCATATTGTCAATTGTTTTTCCCTTGCGAGAGGTGTCTACTAATCACTCGCAGGGTGTGATTTTTTTTAGTTATTCTAACCATTTTTGTAGTTAATATATAGCTGACTTTTTTGGTTAATTTGTCGTGATCCACACTTTAGTTATTATTTATGAGATTGATAACTAATTCCTTTGCCACCCGTGTTTTAACAATAAATCCTACATAGCAGTAATTTATTATTGTTTTATTTTTTGCCTTAATACTTGTCTAATTTTGATGCCTTGGTGGTAAATAGCAATGGTGTTAACAATTTTTTCTTTATGTCAGATTAAGTGTTTTTCTTTTCCTTTTTTTTTTTCCCATCTATAAATGCAGGTGTATTTGGGTGAGCAGTATGTAAATAATCCTACACTATCTGATGTTACATTTTTGGTTGAAGGTATGGATTTTTTCTTATCAATGATTTTGTTCTTAATTCAGTGTCTTCCTCTTTCATTTTAAGTTAAAAGTTGTTTGGAAATGTATTTGCATTCAATTTCCACATTATTCTGTCAGGCAAACGATTCTATGCTCATCGAATTTGTCTTCTTGCTTCTTCGGATGCATTCCGTGCAATGTTTGATGGTGGTTACCGGGTGAGTTATACAATTCAAGGATATTGTTTCCATTATCTGTTTTTTACTTATGCTGCTTTGTTATCACCTTCCCGAGTACACTTATCTGCTTAAAGGAAAAAGAAATCATAAATCTGAGCACATCGCTTGATAGTACAATAGAATGATTTAAATAATAATGTAGATCTGGAGTAAATGCATAGAATGATGATCAGTCCTTCATTTACTAGTAACAAAATATGAAAATTGATTTGCAGGAGAGGGATGCCAAAGATGTTGAGATTCCAAATATAAGATGGGATGTTTTCGTGTTAATGATGAGGTAGAATTTTGAATTTACCTTATGTGAAAACATAATAAATGTGTTGGAAAGTTCTGACCCGTATGCTTTTCTGGTCTGTGCTGCTAGGTTTATATACACAGGATCTGTGAATGTCGAAATGGATTTTGCTCAAGATCTTCTTAGAGCTGCTGATCAATATCTTCTTGATGGCCTTAAGCGTCTTTGCGAATATGCCATTGCACAGGTGGGTATGTTTTAGTGTGATACGGCTAGTACATTTGATTATTACAGATTTACATGCTTATTTGTTGTTTTGATGACAGAAGAGTAACGCCTTTCTAATTGTCTTTCTTAAGGATATTTCTGTGGAGAATGTTTCGTTGATGTATGAATTAGCAGAGGCCTTTAATGCCACGACCCTGCGGGAAGCATGCTTACTCTTCATATTAGAGCAATTTGAAAGATTAAGTACCAAGCCTTGGTATGTAATACCTTCCTTTCTAAGCTAGGAAAAAATGTGTTCTTGTTCTAGACAAAACTTCTCAAGCTACTAGCTGTTTCCATGCAGGCTAAATTATGTGAATTAATTAAGTCATACGAAAAAAATGATGCACGTAGAAATAGCTTTGTTTTCTTGTAGACAGTAATTGGTTTGACTAGATTCGAATCTGATCAAATATATAATGGTGTAAACATGCAGGTGTGCTCGTTTGATTCAACGCATCATTCCGGATATACGGAATTACTTTATAAGAGCACTTGCGAAGCCTGTGCAAACTGACTCCAGACAACTCTAAATGATTTTGACATTGGTTTTGACCTTTTTTTGTGGCCCTTTGGACTGATATTAGCGTTGGAGGAGCATTATATGTACAGATAGCTTAGGAGTTAGTACAACTTGGGAAGTCTTGGATCTGATTCTAGTGTAACGAAAATTTTCTAATATCAGACTTTCCTTTGTCGGTATATTATTAGCCCATTCAGCATTCGAGTGGGGTAAGGCCTATGAATTCTGATGCAGACATGGATATGCCAATCAGATCGCCAGGTCGAGGCACTGGGAGTGTCTAACGGTGATGTACCATAAAAAAAAAAAAATCAATCAACTAAACCAAAGACTGTTGAATTATAATGGGTACAGCGCAGTGAAGTCTACGTTTTTAGATTGAAAGATGATTCCGATTGTCATGGATGGATTTACAGCACAGATCTCATTGCTCAGTGCTCACCACCTATAATGACTGAAATGAGGACTTTTTATTATAGGGCTGAAAGCCTGAAATCATAAACTGTCGCTGAATTATTGCTCTATGGGCCTGGTAGTTTGTTATGGGCTCTAAGTTCTATACAAATATAAGAAGTTCAAAATATTACGGTTTTGGCGAAATCTTTTTTAATCTGTTTTAGGCAAAAATTCACTCTGGCAGTCCACTATCCGCCAATAACCAGTTTTCTTCCAAACTGTCGAGACACAGAGATGACCTTGCAGCTATCAGGACTGTGATTACCCTGTCCTAACATCCTAACAACCCCACTCACTTTGTTCAGCGCCGAACCTCTCCAGACCCAATCCCCAAACTTTCTCCAACAAAAACATCTCTCACAGCCACCGCTTCTCTCTGCTCTCATCTCACCATCCAGGCAAGCTCTTATTTATCCCCAACTCTTAATCCATGATTTCGTGTTTTCAGTTTCTTTGTAAGATTATATTATTCCAATCCCAACTCAATGACAAAATGTTGCAGATTATCGGTGGAAAAACTCCATCGTGTCGTGAAAATGGCAGTGTCACTGTCGATGGCTCGGTTGAAGATGAAATTGATTGGGATGAAATGAATGCTCATCTTTACTACTGGACCAGGCAACTCGGTCCAGTCCAGGTATATGTTGGTGACTTTGTGGTTGTTTATTTTTATTAAATTTTTGATGAGCCTTAAAATGATTTTTTTTTTTTTTTTGAGATATGGGGTGTTTTGGCAAATGGTATGGTGGTACCCTGGTCATATTGCAAAAACAGAAAAAGAACTAAAAGAGCAATTCAAGTTGATGGATGTTGTTATGGAAGTACGAGATGCTAGAATTCCTTTGTCTACTACTCACCCTCAGGTTAGCTTTTTCTTGTTATTTGTTTATTGCATTTTTAGCAGAAGTACATTTTTACTTTTAGCTGCGTGTGTAAACTTGTTATGTGCTGAGTTTGCAATGAGCACAGATGGATTTATGGCTTGGTAATCGAAAGAAGGGTTTAGTTTTAAACAGAGAAGACATGATATCCACTGCTGATAGGAATGCTTGGGCAATATATTTCTCAAGGCAAGGGACAAAGGTTGTCTTCTCGAATGGGCAACTTGGAATGGTATTCGAATTAAGATATTCTATTTTGAGCATATTCTTTTGTAGTTTGAGCATTGCTCGGGTAAGTAAGTTATATACGTTTGGCAAACACAGGGGACTATGAAGCTAGGTCGGTTGGCAAAGTCTTTAGCAGCAGGTGTAAATGTTAAACGCAAAGCCAAAGGACTCCTTCCTTGTCTGGTGGCTTTTGCGGCAATTTTAGCATGCCTGTTTTTTCATTCTTGAGTAGTGTCTTAGCTTCTGTGATTCACTGCATTTTGCAAGTTTTCTCTGTTGTTTATTTGTGTTTCTAAACTTTTTTTTGTAAGTAGTGATCGGGATGTTTACAAGTTTTATATTTCTAAATACAGACAGGTATGATTAGGTCTCTGGAAATGGTAGAATTATTTAAATAATCTCTTTTATGTAACTATGTCTATTATTGGTCAGTCTAGTTTTACTGTGGAATGATATAAATGCTGAACCCATATTCTAAAGCTTCAAATCAAACATTCATATACTTGATGGTTTTTAAATTATTGTCCAGGTTTGAGCTGGAGTAGTTGGGTATCCAAACGTTGTGAAATCATCTTTGATTAATCGTTTGCTGAAACGAAGAATGTGTCCAGCAGCTCCTAGACCTGGAGTTACAAGAGAACTGAATTATGTGTTCTGGTGGTTTTTGTTTCTTTGCTATCATATAGATGTGAAACTATTGTGAAGGGGAAGGGGTGAGGGTTTGAAAGGCAGAGTGTTCAATGAGTTTGAAAAGTTCTAATTCTGCATCTTGAAATCCTAAGAAATTCACAGTTTTGTCATCGTTGAAAGTATCTCTTACAATTTCAATGGTTAATCGTTTGCTGAAACGAAGAATGTGTCCAGCAGCTCCTAGACCTGGAGTTACAAGAGAACTGAATTATGTGTTCTGGTGGTTTTTGTTTCTTTGCTATCATATAGATGTGAAACTATTGTGAAGGGGAAGGGGTGAGGGTTTGAAAGGCAGAGTGTTCAATGAGTTTGAAAAGTTCTAATTCTGCATCTTGAAATCCTAAGAAATTCACAGTTTTGTCATCGTTGAAAGTATCTCTTACAATTTCAATGGTTAGAAATTTTGTTTAAACTCTTTGTGTATGCTATAATAATTTCTTTCTTTTTTGGATAAATATACTATAAGAATACCTGAATTAAAGAGTTCGCATATCCATCTAAATAGAACAACATTTCTTTTTTCTTCTGTGATGACAAAACAACTTTTTCAAATTGCTTATAAGCTTAGCATGATAAACATCTTTTGAATTTCTCATTTGTTTTTCTCTTTTACTTTTTGAAAGGTGGGCTCACTTTGGGAAATATCTTGAGTTGCTCGACTCTCCAGTAACACTCCCAATGCGAATTAGTGATCACGCAGCTGCAATAAAGCTTGCCATATGTGATGACATTGGAGAGAGGTCCTATGACGTTGCTGATGTTGCAGCTATTCTTGTGCAGATGTTAGCAAAGCTTCCAACAGTAGGGATGTAGTTACATAATGTTTTGTTCATTCAGTGGCTTTTCTTTTCCTTGTTTGTCAAGAAAGCACTCTAGTTTCATAGCCAGGGCTTTTGTTTCAAGCTGAAATTTACTAAAAATTTCAGTTTGCATCACAAATTGCAAAGAAATAAACTGAAATACTGGTTGTTATTGGCGTCTTTTATGTTAGTGAACGAGACTTGATAATAACTTTTGTGGTATAATTATTCTAATTAAAAGTATGGATTGCGAGAACAAAGAACTAATAATTTTTGAGAAAATTATTTTTCTTTCTTTTTTGTTTGATCAAGATGGTATAATGAGACCATTAGATATATGGGACTTTAAATAGCTGTGGGAACCTGAAGTGATGAAGTTAGTGGATAACAGAGATTCAAAATGGGGAAAGGGTATCTCAATAGGGCCATTTCACGAAGCGACGACTACTTTTCCTTGTTTATTTTTGCAGGAGGAATATAACGGATGCATTTTGTAAATTTTTCCTCCCTCAAAGCATTTTGCGTATAAGCTGATGGTAGCTTTTCCTATGCCGTATATATTGAGGATTTTAAGAAGAAAAGCAGGGAAAATGAATGATTTTAAGTAAATAAAATTCGATGCAGCTATTTTCTTCATAGAAGGCTGTAGAAACAATGCACTATAAACAATGTGGTATAATCATTTGGTAATTGAAGAGCTAAATATAGCAAGGGAACTTTTTGGTTGGTTGTTTAATTGCAATTCTCAATTGCATAACTTATTTCTTTACCTTTGAGGCTCCTTTGCTGTTTGCAATAATTTATGACTGGATTTCAAGCTTTCAACTTTTGGCTGAAGCTAGCTGCTGTTGACAGATTATAATTTTGTGCTTGCCAGGGATGAGAGCTTTTCAAAACCGCTACAAGGTCGATGTGGATGGTCAATGCGGTAAAATGTATGTCTTAATCTGGCACCTTATAATTTTCACTTGAAAAAAAAAAGCTGATGATCTGGATCCAAAAGCCCATTCAGGAAGAACAAGCCGACCAGATAAATAAGCAACCCAGTTGCCACTATAAGCAAATAAAACCTGTCTTACGCACTGAAAAAGGATATGGTTTGGGTTTCATTAGGAAGCTTTCCACGGAGTTAAAGGTCATCCTGACATTTCATTTTACTGTTTTACATAAATTCCTGATTGATTTGGTTTTTAATTGTCTGAATTTCAGATTTATTGAGAAGCAAGCCCTTTTCTTGTTCAATGGGGATGTCCACCAAGCAGCATTCGGTATCCTGTCTGATTTTCGAAAAGGGCAGTTAGGTTGGGTTGCACAGGAGAGGTGTCATGGTCAGGCCTTGGTCTTACCATGACTGATCCTGAATCAAGCAGCGGTCGAGATCGAGCTGGCGAAAAAACGGTTCTAAAGAATGCGGGCGTGCATTCGGAGCTTGGGAACATGATGCTAACATGTTGTAGGGGCAATGGGAGCCCTGAGCCGCAAGATACGAGGAAAAGCTCGGGACAGTGGTCGGACACCCTCGAGCCAAGTAGCTTGGCGGGTGCCATCTGTGGAAGCTGTGTGCGGGCGTTCCGAGCATGGGAATATGTTAGGGACATTGTGTGTGGACGGCCCATGCCCTAAACCCCAAGATATGCAGGTAAGTATAAGACATTACGCTGGTGCCCTAGGACCAGTTAGCCAGATAGGTGTTGTCGGTCGAAGCCATATGCGGACACCTTCGAGTGGGTTGGTGGAGCAACGAGCAGAATCAAGAAGCATTGGTGACCAAGAGGAAGGTTACGGGGCCCTGAGTTAGTCGGAGAAAGGCCCTGAGGGGGCTGGGTAGAAAAGTGTCCCCGTTTCAGACATTCTTACGGTCACTGGTAGCATATTGAGAAAATCTCTAACGCTCTTTATAGGGGGACGACTGGTGTCAGCTCTCCACCACCCCCTTGGCTAGCGGGCAGGCGGGGGCCTGACTAGTCTGAAGTGAGCTACTCCTAAGCACTCAAGGTGTCTAAGTGGGCGGACATCGTAGGGTCACGAGCGTGGCACGATGTTTCCGCGGGTAAGGTAAACCCGGGTGCGGTTGGGACCGGTGGGCCTCGTATCTCGCCTTTGCGTTGAACCATGGGGTTGGACGGTAGAGATCGTTAGGCCCCTCGGTTTCCCCTCCTCGAGCCGGAAGGATCAGGTGATGGTGTTTACGTAGGAGGGATACCATCGAGCCAAAGGGATGCGCGGGCTAGCTAGCGGCCACGCTGCTAGACTCTTGTGGCCAGTCGGGCTGGTGGGCTGCAACTAGGGCAGTCCACCCAAGGACCCTTGCGGGAATGGACCACGCGATGGTATGCATGTAGGAGGGATGCCATTGAGCCGAGAGGATGCGCAGGCTAGCAGGCAGGCACGCTGCTAGGCCCCTGTGGCCAGTCGGGCAGCTGGTGTGCTGCAGCTGAGGCAGTCCACCTGAGTCCCCTTGCGGGACTAACATAATGTTAGGTGTCAATCATGTGTGCGGGCAGCTAATACTGATGCTAAAGGGTGTAAGCCCTAAGAACCGAGTCCCGTTGGACGAGTTGAGCCTAAAGGCTCCGAGCTGGCTGCTGACCAGCGTGAAGAGGATGCTTGCGTAAACTTGATACAGGAGCTTGCGTATCATACGTGCGGGCGTGGTGTTGGGTTCTCACCATGCCAAGATGTAATAACATCAAGAGAACTGGGGCTGTGTGCCCCTACGAGATTCGAGGGTCGGGACTCAAAGCATTAAGCCTTGCGGCCAGAGCTAGGTGCTCGCGGTCACTGAGAGAACCGTAAGTCGATGCGCGATGAGAGATAGGTTCCTCTTTATAGAGTTTCGAATAAACAACCTTACGAGGACAAAAGCCAGAAAAGGCTTGTGGGCATGCGGCTTGAAGGGTCGGATTTGGTTGGTTCGCGAAGAAAAATGGACATGGTGAAAGCTGATCTTGATTATGAGTAGTCTTGGTGTTACACTTGGTGTTATACGGTCGCGTGATTTCAGTAAGAGGAACGCGTGGATTGTGACAAGAGGCCTCCCAGGTAATGCTGTTGGATGTATCTCGCTGGCAAGTCTTAAATTGTCTCAACTTCGGGATACAACAGCTGTCAGAAACAGACATCAGAAACTTTTGGCATATTAATGTTGGAAAAATGAGGTGCCATGCAGAGGATACAGCTTTATAATGGGGGAAATTATAACAACATTGATTAAATAGATGCTGCTTGGCTGTTGGGAAATTTTGAATGACCTAAAAGTGCAAAGAAATCCTTGAAAATGTATATTCATGTCGTGTAAGATTGGGTTTTCAATTTTCCAACCTTTGCTACAAGAACCTCACTCAATTTTGTACTCGTCTCATTATGTATAGGAAATTAGCAATTACATGCAAATTATTCCCTATTCTTTTGCTGCAAGATGCATTTATCAATGGTACAATCCTAACATATGATTTCATTTCTATCTCAAATGAAAATAAAAAGGGAAATGGCAAGTCATTTGGAAGGGTGAAAACCATGACCACAACTTGAAAAAATATAAATGGGCTGGGGGTGGTAGGGGAACTGAAGCAACTAATTTTCATGACCACAAAGTCAATCTTTAATATACAACATGCCTTTTGCACAAGTGTACTACAAAGGAAAAACACAAGGTGCAGCACCTCAAAGGTGCACGCTAAGAAATAACCAACTGCGTCAAAGATGGAAACAATCATGCTGACTAATGGCATAAAAATTGATGCAAGGGAGTAAGCTTGCTGTTTCTTCAAGAATCATCACTAAAACTACATTTGGCATCTGTATCCATTATCCAAATTCTCTAGCTTGATTGTATTCAAGCATCACGTGGGATTTTACTGATACAATGAGATTACTTGTATATTCATCTTGCAATTGTGGGAGCACATTGTGTATCACTTTTGTTTGGCCAACTCTCTTTAATTCCACAAGCTCGGATAGGACGTTCAATTTGATGCCCTTCCAAAGATTCCTTTTGCAGCTGAGAACAGTATCTTTGAAATGTATTGACGTTTACTTGAAGTCTGAAATCTAGACTAAACAAAAATTTCATCTCCAACCTGTTCAACTCAGCTGTGCTCACCCCACCAACTCTAGCATAATATGCATTGTTGAAACACCTGCAAAAGACAATGGAATGTACTTTCTTCTAATCAAGCTGGTTCATCTTTATCAGGAAATCCATGCTTAAATGATAATGTAAGCATTTCCACCCAAGAAACCATCGTTTTTAAACTGTGAGAATGAGTTCATTATCAGTAATCTGTTATAGAAAGGTTAACACTTACGCATCATCAATAAATTTTGCTGCTATCATAACACTGGTTATAAGGAGCCGATGAACATTAAGGGAAGTCAAATGCACATCAGTTTGTTGAACGAATCTATCCACGTAAATGTATGCAACAAGAAAGCATGAAGGACTGCAGCCAGCATACTTAAAGATGCGATCAATATATTGCTGAATGCTTATGGTGGGAGCCCTTAACCCATGAAAGATTGCAACATTATCCTTCATGTTCGTAGTCTCTGATTGCATCTCATTTTTTTGGACAGATTTCTCAAGAAGTGAAGAAAGAAGTGATAAAATCCGTGGAGTTCCAATAGGTCCTTTACCCAATTCTTTCAATCCCAAAGCAAGGTATATATCTGAGTCCACACCCTCGGTATTAATTGCAAGAGTTCCCATAGCCAGCCTGAACTGCAAAAGATTCACATTAAAGAGCTCATTAGTCTTAACTCTCAAAAAGTAATAAAAGCGTCATCCTTCATTCAATATTCATTAGGGAAAAATATGAGACAGTGAGAGATTGTATCGTGTGAAATAATATACAATGTCCCCTACTTGCTGGATCTACAAATAACCCACATTAACATGAAGTAGGAGGCATGTTATAAGGCTATTTGCAGTGCCAGAAAAAAGGGTGCTAAATCCAGTTTGCAAATGAAAACCTGTAGCTTCGCGCCACGTTAATCTTCTTTCTAGACGACCAAGTTAAGTATCAGATCTCATTGCCACACGTTACTGAAATATGTGACGAATTAAGTGTATAAGCTTTTGAACTGAATAACCTCGCCATCTTCACAGGGCTCAAAATTCAACACCCAACAACCATCCCTAGTCTCAAAGAAACAAATTAACCAGCAAACCTACCGAAATACTACAGAAATCCCCTGAAAATTGAAGATGCTTAGGTCACACACAAGAGTTCAAAAATCATTATGAGAAATCAAGCAAAACCCATCAAATCAAATCTGATTAAAACACTTTATCCATAAAAAATTCAAACAAAAACTAGAAAACTAAACCCACACCCAAATTCACAAAAGAACAAGCTTTCACTACACGTGGCAACCCGTTCGAAGAAAAAGAAAAAGACGGAACCGAACAAATATGTAAAAAAAATTAAAAAAAAAACTTACAGAATCTTTAGAAACTTCTTCACAGTGTCCCCGGAATCTGCTTCTTCATACAAAGAAGATAAACAGAAGAGAGAGGTCGATCAAGATCTTATCCTTACTCTCTCTCTCTCTCTCTCTGCTTCTTTCTTCCACTTTATTGCAGACACAAAGAGAGAAAGAATAAGTTTTTTCGGGTATATTTATTTTTAATTTTCACAATTTCTCCCCTATCGATCTTTGTATTTTATTGGAAAGTCTGCGTTGGTGTCTCAATCTGTCCTTTGCTTTTCTCTCTCTTATTTACTGTTGCTTTGCTTTGTTTGAAGCTTTTAGCTTTACACGGAAGACAGTCGGTAGTGGATTTCACCCATTCTTAACTGTGGACACTAGGAAAGTAAGGATAAACTTAAAACCTCTAACCCCCTTGCCTTTCGCTTTGGTTAAGCTAGGGCCCCACTATCTATGGGGATTCCACCATTATTTCCACCCCCATCATTGCCGTCCATTTTGGATCTTCAAATTCATCCAAAAATTTATACTCTAATACTACTATTAATTAAATTAAAATCAGGAATGATCGTATTGATTTCCAGATTTTGTTAGTCCTCGAATTTGTATACTCCAAATGTTTTAATACTTCCGTTAATAATTTCCTTTATAAAATCGTTAAGTGTTTGGTATTGTATAAAAAAGATAATTGAGTATAAAATATTTTATATAAAATAAAATAACAATTTTACTTTATATCACATAAATTTTCTAATTTACTATCAAACAAAATGATTTAATTAATGAGTGTAAATATCCTTAAGCTAATGAAATTTTTTGCTTAATGATAAATAAGAGATTTTAGAAAATTGGTTTTGTATTCAAATTTTATTATATTATGATTGATTTGATTGTTTAATTATATTATAATTTGATGATTTATTGTTTATTTTGCATAATTTATAAAGAAAGAGGTGAAAGTTTTGGTTCAAAATCAAAATTTTTATATTATTTTTAAAAAATCATTAAATCAATAAATTGGAGATGATTGATTATTTAATGATATATTAATATATAAACATAATAATTAATTATCATTATATATATTTTTTGTACTTATAATTTTAAAAAAAAATCCCCTTAATTTTTACAACGACCAACTCATGTCACACGTTGTCTTAAAGAGAAGGATCTGTGGTGCTTGCTGGCTGGTTTTAGTAGAAGACGCAACATATTCCACATGTTTTCATAAGCAAAGGTATTAAATTATGCCGCAAGATTAGGTACCGTCGGTGGGGTTCACTCATTCCCATAAATCAAAGATTTCTTTACTTTCGTCGTTAACTTTGCTTGATGGTAGGTAAAATATTTTAAAATTTTGAGGCTTAATGGTAGGTAAAAGATTTAAAATTTTTGAGTCATATAATGTTTGATATTAGTTGTTTAATTATGTTTTAAATTATTAATTAACTTTTTATTATATGTAAATGTAATAAATGATTGTAATTATGATTTTTTATTTGTAAATTTTAAAAAATATAAAATAATTAAATTTAATACTTTTTATTGTGAGAATTATGAGAATTACTTTGAGCTTTTATTTTTCATCTTTACTTATATTATATGCAAATGTAATAGGATTTAGGGGTTTGATTGGACCACACCAACGCGTTTGAGTTTTTTAATTTTTAAATTTTTGTTAGACTTTCAATGTTCTTGAAATAGTGATGGAATGTTAAAAAAAAAAAAAAAAATCAAATTGGGTACATTGAAAAAAAGTAACATATCAATCTAAATGCTCATGTCAATACACATGTTTCACCGTGAAAAAGAAAACTACGCATTTCACACAAATATTAAAATTCGTTCATTTTGAGAATGGACAACATTACCAGCAACAAAATAATATACCTACATGCTAAAACAATTTATTATTTAAATTAAAAACGGAAACATTATTGCTATATAATGTAAAATATGAAAATATTATTTTGTATTTGATAACAAAGCATTGTTATAAGGAATACTGCATTTTTTTTTTATAATAAAGATAGAAGTTTAAATATTAAAGGAATAGATTGTAGATATTAATATTTAAATTTTATCATATTAAACGGTACTTTTAAAAAAATGATTGTATGAATAATTAAATTAAAATTCATAAATTATTTTTTCACTTATTATTTCATTATTCTATAAAACCAAAAAAAAAAAAAGAAAATTTGATGTGTGGAATATTAATAATGTCTTGCCTTTGAAGTAAGAAATGGATTTTAAAATCTTAAAAATTATAAATTTAAATATAATTATATATGAATTTGAATTAATTTTATGTTAAATTTATTTAATTATGTATTGATTTGTTGATTTATCACTTATTCATTTTATCATTATGAGAAAAACATATGTGATGCACATGTAATTACTTGTTGATGATTACATATAGTATATTTCACAAATACATGTATAATAACCAAAAAATTTTTTTCTCTCAGCATTATTAAATATTAATAATATATATAAGACCCAAAGAAAGTAGTATATATATCGACAACGTAGCATATTAAATACATAAATTTTGTTTTTTTCCATGCTTTATAATATAAAGGTGAAAACAGTTGGAATATAATGGTGAAAATAGTTGGTAAGTCTATTTCATGACCTACATCCGCATCCTGCCAAAGCCATCCATACCATATACTATACTATTTTATAGACAAAGACCATGTTCCTTTACAGCTGGCAAAGTGTCGGTTTCACGTAGGATCATGTTATGCCATCATGCCATGTAATAATCTCTGTCACATGTAAACTTCAATTATATAAAAATAAATAAATAAATAGAAATAGTAGAATCTTTAAGAAAGCCAACGTCCTCCAGGGTTAAAATGGATTTTGGAAGGACACAAACCAAACTAATATTGGTGCTTCGATTATGAGTTTTGGGCAGCCTAAAAGCAACTGTGTTTGGTGGTTGTGTCAGGTCAATGTTTTTTTTTTTTTTAAATCGTGTCAGGTCAATGTTAGTTAGGTGTTAGCAATTACAGGATAGAAATAGAAGCTGTGGTTTTAGGTTTTTTTTTTTGGTTTCATCTAATTTGTCAGCGAAATATTATTTCCTATCCTAGAACAGCTTGTCACTACTTACTGTCCTATGCTACTCCTTGCTTGCTTCTCGTTAATTCAATAATTAATAATATTTCTCATAAATATTTAATTATACGTAGTACTCTTTTCCTAGCTACTCGCTTTTAAAAATATTATGTACCTCGTGATATTTCAAAATTATTTGTCAAATCTTAGATGATTTTAAAACTAAATTGAGATTTAATTTCTTTACGTTTATTTGATAAATTAAACAGTTATATAAAGAATTTTGGTCAAAAAAATTATTTTAATGACAATAATGTAATATAATTATTTTTTTATAACTACAAAATAATCATATTATTAATTTTTTTAATTATAATAAATAAAAATTAATTTAAAATGACAAAAAACAAATTTAATGAACAAAATACTTGCTTTCACATCCATATTTTTATAAAAATTATAAAAATATCAATTATAATAAATAGAAAAAAATAAAATAATTAATATTTTATAGAAAAATACTTAATCAAGTAATTAAAAACCTATCATTAACTCAGATAAAATACAATTACATGAAGAAGTAAGATCTAGTCTTTCAGAGTAAGAAGCCAGGCTTCTGTTTCTCTCAAAATACCATTTCCTAGATATTCATTTAAAAAAACTTTTTTTTTTTTTTATAAAAAAGAAAAAATCAAATTGAGTTAATCGAATCATGCCCGTACCACATATAAAACAATATATTTCTAAAGATAGGCCCTAATATTTGGATCAGGTTTAAGCTCAAATTACAAAGCCCAGAATTACTCAGGACAAGAAAGTAGGGGCAAAATAGGAAATTGAAATTGGAAGCGGAAAACATACGCATCTTTGGCTCCCAAATCATAATTTTAGTTTTGAAGTAATTGAAAAGCCATCATTTCCCTCCAATTTCCACACGCACTCCTTTGATATTTCTTATCACCATTTTCATCATTTCTCTGTAACACTCCTTCACTACTGTTCAAAAGCTTCTCTCCCTCTCCCATTCTCCTTTAAAAACCAAAACTTCAAAAAGGAAAAAGAAAAAGAGACAAGGTATTTAATTCTTCATTCTCTATGGAACCCATCCCTCTTTTTTCCATTCTAGGGTTTGTTATTCTTCGTTTGTTTCTCGAGAAAAAAAAAACAGTCTAGGGTTTTTTATTTCTCTTTTGATTCTTTTATTCGTTTAGTTGGTTTATAGAATTGGAAACAACTAGAAAATTGAGTGGATAAATTTTGGATTTAAAAAAAAAAAAATTTTTGTTACAGGTTTTCAGTGAATAGACTGGTGTCAGATTATTATTTTTTTTTCAAATTTAATTTACTAAACCAGGCGTTATTAGAGGTAAGAAAATTGAAGCATTATTTAAATTTATTTATTTATTTTTTTAAAGGCAATCTAATTTTCTAATCAGTAATTTTGTGTGTAAATTTGCATTTTAGGGTTTTGTGCACTATTCCTTGTTTCCCTTTTCTTTATAATGCCTTTTTTCACTTTAGTTTCTCATTTTTCTGTTTGTCTAGTTGACGACGAATCTTAAAGCCCAACGTTAGGTTGTATAATATTAACTGTAATTTTATTTATACTTTTTGTAAGATTTCTTTATTTTACTTCATTTTTGTATGATCTCATAACGACCTAATGATGGATTTTAGATATATTTAGCCTCCGCTTATGATGGAAAAAAGTGATAAGCAGTTTTTATGTGCATTATTCTGACTGCTAATCAGATGTTGGGGGTTAGGGACAATATTATTGATAGTCATATGGGGGCATTGGAAGACATACTATATTAGTACATTAATTTGAAGTAGGGTTGAGATGACTTTTGTTATAAGTTCAATCATTCATGAGTGTTGATATGCTTTGCTTAATAACAATAGAATTTTGGAAGAAAGGTTGTATTATTATTACACCCCAGGTGTGCACAAGAGCCTAAACTCTCTATTTTTTATTGGGTAATCTGTTGTCAAAAGCAGAAGTTTTAACTTGCTTGTACTGTATGATATAGCTATTAAAAATGTTCATGGAACAAAAATACAGTCAGTCTGGGTCAATATATAAGTTTGTTTATTGGCTAGTTTCAAGTTATTTTGCTCAAGGGAATGTAACGTATCTACCTTCCTCCGGAATTAGCATCTTCTTTAGTGTAGCACTTTTTGTTCTTTCCATCTAAATGGTGGCTTGTGGCATCCAGCATTACCACTCTGCCATCATTGACAATGCTTATCCATTTGTCTGGTCTTTTGTTGGCCCCACGCTATCACAATCACTACTAGTAACACTATTTTGGTGATTTTTTCTGTTGAAAGTTGAAACAATCTTTGAAATGAATTGATGCCTTGCTGCTTTAGTTAGAATTAAACAAGATTGCTTCTGGTTATTTCTCACAAAAGTTGCTTAAACTGATTCCGTAGGAATTGGCTGATAGATCTATCATGATAGGAATTTCATAGCATAACATATTTGATGCTGTTCATAAGGGATGGATTTGTAAATTAAAATCTGTATTTAATAGAAATTTTTTTTTGAGATTTGATTTCTTCAGATATTGTTCTTTCCATTCCCCTTTTAGGTGTTGCAGTTAAACATAGGGTTTCATTATGTTCTATGATCACTTCATTTAATAATAGTTGCTTAATTAGAAGTCCAGCTTTGTTGCTCATTTAATTTTTTTTTACACTTATGGCTCATTTATTTTGTCATTCCATCTTTGTTGATTGTTTATGTCATTTAATGTTGTTTTTCTAAATTTTTTGTAAATGCTCTTCACATAAGAATTTTGTTGGCTAAGTTGCCTGCAAGCTCTAGGTTGTGGCATGAAAAATATTGACCAATCAGCAGTTCTACTTGGATGATTATATTGCTGCATTTCTAAAATTATGGTATGTAATTTTGAGCAATGGTTGCAAATCTCTGTGGCTATCAGATTCAAATGGTTAATTAACATGTTACTCATTCTTTGTCTTGTTTATGCACCAGCATTTATCCTGGTTTTGTTGTAATGTATTTGCAATATGTGATGGTCCTAGGTTGATTAAAAATGGAATCTGGGGCACAAGCTTTCCAACACCGCTTGCTGTCAGTGAAATTGTGGCCCCCTAGTCATAGTACCAGGCTAATGCTTGTAGAGCGGATGACAAAGAATCTTACAACTCCATCCATTTTCTCTAGAAAGTATGGCCTATTAAGTAATAAAGAGGCTGAGGAGGATGCCAAGAAAATAGAAGAGTTAGCTTTTGCTGCTGCAGATCAACACTACAAGAAGGAGCCTGATGGTGATGGAAGTTCTGCAGTACAGATATATGCCAAAGAATCCAGTAGACTGATGCTGGAAATTATTAAAAGAGGCCCTACAGTAAAGGATGGAGAGGTAGCTGATAAAACTAGTGTTCTTCATGAAACTGTCTTTGATATATCTGGAGGTCGTCGGGCATTTATAGATGCAGAGGAGGCTGAGGGCCTTTTGAAACCACTTAGAGAGCCTGGAAATTCCTATACTAAGATATGTTTTAGCAACAGAAGTTTTGGCTTGGATGCAGCAAATGTTGCTGTGCCCATCTTGTCATCCATTAAGGATCAATTGATGGAGGTAGACCTTTCAGACTTTATTGCAGGAAGGCCAGAGTCAGAAGCACTTGAAGTCATGAATATTTTTTCATCAGTCCTAGAAGGTTGTCACTTGAGGTACCTGAACCTTTCAAACAATGCTCTGGGTGAAAAGGGTGTCCGGGCATTTTCGGCACTCCTGAAGTCACAGAATAATTTGGAGGAACTTTATTTGATGAATGATGGTATCTCAGAAGAAGCTGCACATGCAGTTTCTGAGCTAATTCCTTCTACTGAGAAGCTGAAAGTACTTCAGTTTCACAATAACATGACAGGGGATGAAGGTGCAATTGCTATTGCTGAGATTGTGAAATGCTCCTACGCATTGGAGGATTTCCGGTGTTCTTCTACAAGAGTTGGCACAATTGGTGGTTTGGCTCTAGCTGAAGCACTAAAGACATGTACCCATTTGAAGAAGCTTGATCTGCGTGACAACATGTTTGGTGTGGAAGCTGGAGTTGCTTTGAGCAAAGCACTCTCTCTGTTTGCAAATCTTACTGAGGTTTACCTCAGTTATTTGAACCTGGAGGATGAGGGGGCAGAAGCACTTGCCAATGCTCTGAAGGAGTCTGCATCATCACTTGAAGTTCTGGAAATGGCTGGAAATGACATTACAGGCAAAGGTGCAGCTTCTTTAGCAGCCTGTATTGCATCAAAGCAATTCCTCACTAAATTAAACCTGGCTGAGAATGAATTTAAGGATGAAGGTGCTATTGTGATTGGTAGGGCATTAGGAGAGGGTCATGGTCAGTTGAATGAAGTTGATATGAGCACAAATGCCATTAGGAGAGCCGGGGCAAGGCTTTTGGCTCAAGTGGTTGTGGAAAAACCTGGATTTAAGTTGCTGAATATCAATGGAAATTTCATATCTGATGAAGGGATAGATGAGGTGAAGGAATTATTTAAAAGTTCCCCTGATATGCTTGGTCCTTTGGATGAGAATGATCCTGAAGGAGAAGAAGAAGAAGATGATGATGATGATGAGGATGACAAAGAGAATGCAGAAAATGGGAATGAATTGGAATCCAAGCTTAAGGATCTCAAGATCGAGCAAGGAGAATAGTCATGCTTTCTGTCTGATGTTTTTGTCATCAGGCTGAAAATTATCTAAAGGGTCTTTCTATTTTCAATTTTGCTTATTATAAGCTAGCGTAGCTGCAACAATGGTGTGGTATCCATCCATTGTGGGTTAAGTTTGTGAAGACTAATTCCTCAAAGTAAGATATGGAAACATCCTGAGTTTAATAGTTGTAGCTCTATTTAGCTGGGAAGTCGATTTAGTTTAAACTTCTACTTAGTTGGGCAGCATATTATCGTTCCTTTGTTGTAGCTGTAATGTGCCTGGGATATAGCAGTCATCTGTATCAGATATCATTGTTCAATGGTTTAGCATGGATATTTTTTTCAAATGCTTTCTGAAATTTTATATGAAATAGCAAGTACTAATAGTTAAGACAGGTATTACTTTCACTCTGGCATATCATTTGAATCGAATAAAGAATTCAGCATGTCATTTTTCTTTCCTAATTATCTGATAACATATTATGCCTCTGTGCTGGTATCTTGTTTAATTATGTTTGTAATATATTCTTGGAGCTTCAGTGTGCCGGATGCCACAAATCGATCATGAGTACCCTTTTTCTGTTGTGGAACTTGGCTCTTTGACTGCTTTATAAGTTGGATCCTATCTTGACGTACAAGCACATCCACCACAATTCTTTGGGATGACCCAGTTGCTGTCCTATGTTGTTTGCATTCATTTCTGCTCTGGTCATTGCTTTGATTATAAATTACCACGAGTCTTACATATTGTTCTTCTGATTTCTTTATACATATAACCCCGTTTCAGTTGAGTTCTGACAGGCATCTTGCAACGAAGTTTACCTTAGCTACCACACCAGTATATGCAATGCTACATAGCTATGAATTATGATCTATAACATAGAGATGACATGCAGAGGACAGAGACAAAAAATGCACTCGTACAGTCTTGTACAATAGACTGGTTTGAGTTTAAAGTACCACTTGATTATGGTCGATCAAACAGGTACTGGAACTTTAAGGGACTCTAGTATCTTATCATCTATCTCGAATTGCATAGGTTTCTTGTCTCGCCCGATCTTTACATACTCGTCGAATCTCTCCTTCAAGTCTTCTGGAAGGTTTGTGGTGCCATTCCACCCTAATATGTCCTTTGCAGCTCTTGGTTCGGCATAAAAGTGCTGCACGGTAAAAGGATGAAGGTGATTATCTACAGTTCACATCAGTTTTTGGATCAGGATTTGTGGACAGTAGACTTCACATTAATCATCTAAATTGGTGGTCTTGAGATGAAAAACTAAGGTTTATATAAAACGTTTGCACTTATTGCAGTGAATCGATTTTTGCTTGAAAGATAGTCTGCTTAGCTTAACAAATATCATTACCATATTACGGAATGGAAAAGCTTTCTTTGCATCAATTCCAACAGCTTTTGGATCATAATGAACAATTTCAACTGGTAAGCCAGCGGCTTCAGCACATAATCTTGCCATTCCATCCAGAGTCACAGCACGGTCGCTCACACAATTGAAGATATTACATGATGCTGCTTCTGGTTTCTCAACAGCTAGAGTAAGCATAGAGGACAAGTCCCTGCAATGGGCGATGTTTGTAAGTTGCATCCCTGAACCGGGGATCGGCACTGGCCTCTTTCGAACAATTCCTGTTGAGAAGAAATGTCATTCACTTTTTTAAGACCTAAGAAGGATAGCAAGTAAAACTGATACCAATTTTAGAACTCCAAGAGACCGGATTGAAGCCTTGAAAGAGTTGATGGAATCATATACGTACATTGAAAGGAAATAATTTATGGCAATATTAGCTCCAAACCATGTCAAATTTGATGGTGGAATTGTTCTATGGCTAAGAAGTTCAAAAGATTGCTTCACTTACTATCGAAGAACCACTCCTCACAGTCTTTGTTGTTTCCAGATCCAATCATGTATTGTGGCCGGAATATTGTCCAACTACTGAAAATTTCGGCAATGTATTTCTCGACTCCAACATGGCCAGCATCTGCTTTAACAACATCCTGCAATAGTGAATATTCTGTTTGAGTAGATCCGGGAATGTTGTTCGTGCTTGTGGCATTTTAAACACATTTTATTATACCCCTTCAACATGAGGAGGCTCGTCTGTTGGCTTATAAATACCAGCACTGCTTATGTACAAGAATTGCTTCACTCCAGTGCTCTTTGCCCAATCTGCCACAGGCCTATGTGAGAAGATTGAAATTAGAACTGTTTTTTTGCCCTTAAAAGGAAATGCTTCAAAGTACTTGCCGTTTTGCAGTTTCTTACATGCCTAGAACTTACCATATCGGCAAATCCTTGTCTTACAACTCCTAAATGAAAATATAACTTCTAAACTATATAATTCAAGGATGAGTTCCCGGAATTAATGCAACAAACCTCACGGTGTCCAGGTCCTTTCCGTTGTTATCTAAAACCACATCAAATGTTGCCCCTGCAACAATCTTCCCAACATCTGCGGGGTCTCCCCAGACTGTCTTCCCTCCAGCACTTACAATTTCCTATAAACATTCCATTAAAAGCCAGTGATTACAAAAACCAGAAAACAAGGGGTAATTGATCTTACAGAGAATCCGTTGAATGGGGGCTTCTTCATTTTATCTGAGCCCTCTTCTCCAACGGTCAAGATGGTGACCTCATGCCCAGAACCCATGAGCTCTTTTGCAAAGTAGAAACCAATAACAGCATGTGCGCCACTATTTGTATTAACTATAAGGACCTTCTTTGTCTCTGCAGCACTGGCCCTGACAGTGAAGGAAGAGGCAGAGTATCTTCTAGAGCTTGTGGGATAGGCAAGGAAGGAAGGAGTAATAGAAAGGGAAGAAGAAGAAGAAGAAGAAGAAGAAGAAGTGGAAAGACACAAGCGTGGAAGAGGACAGACAGAAGTTGAAGGAAGCTTGGAAGGTGGAGAGAAGAAGAGGAGAGAGGAGGATGAGGTAGCAGCAAGAGCAGCCATTGGCCGTTAGTTTTTGTGCTTGTTTCAGAACCAGCAATTTCTTTGTTCTGGATAAAAGGTAATGGTTGTTGGCCAATCCAGTTGATTTTGGCCATCTGGTCCTTCCATTTATTACAGTTGTATCATATTCAAAATTAAATTTTATCATTGCATTTCAATTTCCTTTATTTTTTAATACTCCTATAAAATTATATGAACATTAGTCATTTTAATTTTATTATTTTTATTTAAAAATCAATAACATTAAAATTATAATAATAAAACTTACCATTTGAATTAATAAAAATTTTATATGGAATGTTACGATTTTATTACTTTTTGTCTAAAAATCAATTAATTTAAAAAATATAATGATAAAATTCAATTTTAATCCATTGACCAAATTCACCTTCATCCCTTAATTTATTTTATTGTTTTTGAATTTTACATAAATAGGAGGGAGGGAAGGCAAACTTTGGGCTTGAGCCCAAATCTTTTGATAAGTCCAGATTCCATCGAGGCAAACTTATAGCAATAAAGAAAGGGGATAGTCAAGTCAAAGTCAACAATGCCCAAATTCAATGCAAGATCTGCAAACAAACAAAATCCCAATAGTTTTGTGGATGATAAACAAACAAAGTATGTTACTGCATCATATCAGCCCACACCCAAAAGGATATCGTCCACTTAAACCAGGGGCCGCCAAAATCCATCAAGAAACCAGAGCCTTTGGATTCTCTACATGTCCCCACTCGGCGCATTGAAGAAATTAACTTCTAGAACGCTAACCCCGATCACCAATCGCCGCACCTTTTTTAAATTCTCAGAATCATCAGCTTCCCTCATAAACTAGCCGTTACCCTTTGCTTCTTTCTCTGTCTTTTTGCTTTTCTTCCATGGCTGCTTCAGTCGACAGTCCATCTCCACCTCTTCTCACCAAGGTTCTTTCTCCTTTTCTACCCTTTCCTCCCAACTTTTTCTCAATTTTAATCGGGCGTTATTTATTTTTTCTGATATATCTTTTAATTGGTTCTGATACATTAACAGGAGTCCACAAGCCTGATGGCTTCCTCATCTCCTCTCTTCAGTCCTGCTTCAGACAAGCGTTTTTGGAGCATCCTACGTACCCGGGTCGATGCGCTCATTGATGATCGAAATGCCAAGATCTACGCCTTCCAAACACAGATTGTAAGCTTTCTTTATTCTTCAGCTTTTTGAAGCTAAATTTCTATGCTGTGAAAGTTTGCTTATGGGGTTGATGTTAAATTGAAAAGGTTTTTGTTCTAATTTTTTTAGCAGAATTCAGGAAAATCCAACAGAGCTAAGCGATTGAAGGAGGATTCGTTGCTTTTACTTAGAGGGTTTGATTCCATCTCACAAACACTCTCTCAGCTATCTAACAATCTCGATAATGCTCTTCAGGTAATTTTAATCAATTCCAAATTTAATGCAAAACGCCCTTTAAGTTATTAATTACTATGGGATTAACTTTAGTTTTGTAGCTCTTGCTATAAGAAATTTGCAAACGTGCTGATGTTACTGTTTTCTGTTTGCTCTGTTCTTAAGGGAGATCGAGAGCTAGCTAAACCTCCCACATTGACCGATATATTACATAGTAACCTGAAGAATTCAGAGACTAAAGAGGAAGATCCAAAACAAAAACGAGTCGAAGAAGGCGGTAAAATAGGTTTGAAGAGGAAATTTGATTCCAGTCAATGCTCAGATGAGAATAAAGGAGATGAGTCGCAAAAGGAAACTGAGCAAAGCCCCAAAAACAAGAAGATGATGAAGAAAGCAAAAAATGTCGGTTTTTCCTTTTCTTTTACTTGGTCAGGGACAACATGTAGTAAGCCCAGCCGTCAAGTTCCTAACCCCCTTTCTTCCTATTTTGCAGCTTGCAATTTCCATGGCTACCAAAGCGGCTTCACTTGCCAGAGAGTTGAAGTCCATAAAATCTGATTTATGTTTTATGCAAGAGCACTGCGGTCTGCTTGAGGAAGAAAACAGAAGGCTTCGAGATGGATTCACTACGGGGATCCGACCTGAGGAAGATGATCTGGTAAGTTTCTTATTGACTTGAGCTAGAAACAAAATTTTCTTATCTCAGCACATTGGCGAGTTCTGATCCAAATGTTGCTTTCATGAAAGGTGAGGCTTCAATTGGAAGCACTGCTTGCAGAGAAATCCAGGCTAGCTAATGAAAATGCAAATCTAGTCAGGGAAAATCAGTGCCTTCACCAGCTTCTGGAGTACCATCAAATGACTTCCCAAGATCTATCTGCTTCATATGAGGAAGTGATAAGAGGGATGTGCTTGGACTTTTCATCTCCCATAGCAGAAGAGGAAATCAAGGAAGATTGTGATGATGCTGATAATAGAGTTATGCAAACACCTCGACCCGATATCTTTGGCTTAGCCACTTCCCTTGATGAGTACTTTGATGAGGTGCAGCATTAGGCACAAGTAAACCGATGAGTATATTTTGCATCCACTTCCATCAATCTAGGTGGAAGTTTAATGTCTCCTTACGAGGGTAGATAGTTTGGCTGTCAAACAAAAAAAAATTATGATGAGTAATTAATATCTCAAATAACACAACTCCTGTTGTGCAGAGTATTACAACACAATACCCCCCCAAATGGCCACCATTGTTTTTCTAACCATTGAATCTTTCTATTTACTTGCCAGGGCAACTAACTTAAAATGTAGGATGCAAGTGAAAAGAATATCAGCAGCAACAAACTTGTTATGAACTTCCATGTTCAAAGAAATTAGCATCAACTAATGTCAAATAAAGTACTAGCATTATAAACCAAAAGTAAAAAGTTCGGATAAAGTACTGACGTCATATACTTATAAAGATCTTCCATAATACAGTAATCAACCAAACGCTTATGATCTGACTAAGATTATCTAGAATGAGGCCTATTTGCTAGTATGGGGTTTCTTTCTTTTAGCATTAGTTTTGGCCTCAGTACCAGCATCCTTTGAAGGAAAGGCTTGAGAAGACAAATTCACTGCTGTTTCAGTTGCTCTTGTCAAATTTGTTACCAAGATCATATCCTTCATTTTTTCCAATCCTTTAGAAAATTCACAGATCCCATTCTCGTACTGCAAGAAAACACAAGATGTAATTAGTTTACAAAAAAAAAAAAGGCTCAATTTTTAAATTCTACAGCGGAAGCACCATCTATCTTATTTTTAAGAATCATTACTAGAAATAATGATGCCTTGAAAGTCCACAAAAAAGGCCTAAAAGGTTATTGCCAAGAGGAGCTGGAGTGAGGGCTGCAGGGGTACTGCTGGACGGGGAGGGAGGGAGGCAGCTGGAAACATGCGACTAGAGCCTGGAAGAGGGAGGGGCAGCAACGACAGGAGATGGAGATGCGGCTGTTAAGAGAATAAAAAGAGGAAGAATAGAAGAGCAGGGTCTTTTAAGCTTACATTTTTTTTTTAATAAAAAAAGACCGAACACCATAAATGATAAACCCTTATAGTTTTCATAAATTTTGGTCAATTTTAGATAAAATTAGTTATTTTCTAATTATAGAATAAACCCATAACCAAAATATTCTCAAAATCTCTTCAGATAATCAGCCAAATTTATTTCAGTCACAAACTGATTAATCAAATTAATTCAGTTCGGTCAGTTAATTGGATTTTAACTGAATTATGGATTCCCCTAGTCAGCATCAACCTAGTACAATAAATATCAAACAATCTAATAAATGCTTATGTATGTGCTGTGTAAAGAGACGGTTCTTTTCTTGTAATGGTAATACAGCTCTATGGCAGCATATTTGCATTAAGTTAGTGTTATGAGACATACTGCTTCAATTTTGCCAAGAGCACGCTCCAACTTGAGAGCAACGTGGTGATTTTCATCTATCAGGGCTTCAATCTGCATTTAGGCAGGAAAAAAGTAAAATACATCATAACTTAAACTTTTTAAAAAATGAGCAAGACTTCAATCTCCATTTAGGGGGGAGACCATAACTTGAACCTTTTAAAAAAGTATGGAAGTGGAAAAAATTACCTTCTTTTGGGAGTCAAAATACAAGTTTCTATATCTGACATCTGCTGCTGTAGGGTTTCCAGTAGGAGTTGGGGAAGAGTCCCTTGTAATCTGTTTTAATGTCAAAAAACATTTTACTAAAATTCAGTGGGTTTCACCTTTAGAAGCATATTTTATGATCTGGAAAAAGTAATACATTAAGGAAAAGAAGTACTGAATACCTTCAATTTTAATGCTTTTATGGCCTTTTCTTGTTCTTCAAGTTGCTTTAAAAGATAATCAACTTTTTCTTCCAAGCTCTTTCGGATCAACATTGGCTCTGGTAGTTTCCCCTCCCCAAGATTAAGTGGCTCCTCATCCTTCTCACTTTCACTCATTGTTATCTCTTCAATTATATGCTCGATATCCTTGTCTTGAGAAGGAGTAGCTGCATCTTGAAGACGTTGGGACCTCCTAACCATAGCAAGAGCAATGCGTTTCTTTGCCTTTGTAACTGAAGATAAATCGGCAGAATTTGTTTGTGTTTTAGGCTGTCGTTCTATTGCCTCCAAGGGAGGATTTGATTTCTCAGATTGCAATTTTGCTCGCTCTGATGAAGGATTTGAGCTTTCAGGTTGCTTTTCCACTCCCCCAGAAGGGTCCCTAAACTCAGGCTTAGATAAGAGTTTCACAATAAAAATGAGATAGAATCCTATGATCCTCTTCATTGGAAAAGAATATATTGTCCAAATGCTAAATTTCGTTTCTATTGCGTAAAATAGTAGCAAGTAAAGCATAATGAAAGAACATACAAATGCCAATAAGATTCAGATACAAGGAGAACTTGTATGCAGAAATGAACACAAATCTACATGGAAATTTTTTTCTCTGATCAACATCCAACTTGACCTAAGATGTTACTCCGTTAAGGAAAAAAAAAAACATAAGTTAAGAGTCCATAAATTGTTTTCGGCCAGGAAAAGCCCAAAAAAATTGCAAGTCAGAGCTTCGACCAGAAAAGGCGCTACAATATCAAATATCAAGAGTCATTTTCATAGTGAAGATAATAAAATGAAGACAAGGCACCTTATTTTACTCGCACAATCTTTTGACATCAAAATCACCCATAACCATAAACAAGCTCTCCTCTTTTTCATTATCCTACCATTACTACACGGCAGTCAAACCCAATAGAAATGAACAGAGGCCAGACAAAACAATCAGTCATTGCCCAAAACACGACCCAAAACAACATATACAACAATCAAGAAAACACCCATAAATTTTTTAAAAAAGTGAACTATGTTAATAAATGTGATATTTAAAAAAAAAAGAAACAAATTAAAAGTGGGTTTGCTTTTACCTTGGCCGTGGGAGCCTTTCCTTGGCGCTTTTGAGTAAGTCGTCTCCTACCCATTTTTTCTCTCACAATGAAGAAGTCCAAGAAGAACCAAAGCTGTTTATAGAAGATGTGACCCCTTTTAAAATAAAAGATGAAAAGAGAACGGTGTTTTTTTGTTAAGGTTGAAGTTGGACACAGCTGGCAATGAATTATTGGCGAATAGTCACATCAACGCAGTTCCGGACGAGATGAAGGTAATTCAACCGCAGTTTAAGACTTATTAGACTTTGGTCATAAGATACCCTTACGGCTTCTTGGCATGTCGACGGTTGGATTGCTAATCTTTGTCATGATGAACGATCTGGATTCTTGATGTTGACATCTCGAGTTAAAAACATTGGGATGACCTTGTTTTTTTTGGAGAGTCCAAGTCGTTAGAGATAGTTGTCCCTGGTCAAAAGTAAAAAGCCCAAGAAGTCGCAATTCGTAAAGGAATTGTAAGGAGCCGGATTTGGATCCAATGGTAATAAATGAGGTAGATTATAGCAAATCGGAGGTGGGGTTCATCGATATCACTCATCACTCCTTTCCTTTTCCTCTCAAATCCTCCAAAGGATAAGAAGATAACGCTGCACATCTCTTAACGGTCACGGACTCCGACTCTATTCTTTCTTCTCTTCCTTTTCCTTTTCCTTTTCATTTCCTTTTTCTTTCCCTCCATAGCCAAAGACGTATTCACGACAGGTAACCCAAACAAATTTCCTTTTTTTCTTTTCCATGATCCCTTTCCTTTCCCTCCAGTCCCCTGCTTCTACCTTCACCCCTCTTTTCCTCTTCCCCCCATCTCCACCCTTTTCCTCTGGCTTCACCAAATCCCCTATACGCCGCTTTATTCCTCCACCAAAATCTTCCCTTTCCAACAACCCTTTCAACTCAACTTCCCAACAACTCGGTCCCCAAGGCCCTCAAAACCGACAGCCTCCCAGAACTCTCTTCCCTGGCGGCTACAAGCGTCCTGAGATCAAGGTCCCAAATTTCGTTCTCCAATTGGACCCCGAGGAGGTCTTGGCTGACGACAATGCGCTAGGTTTCATTGACAAGGCTGTGTCCAAATGGATTGGTCTTGTAGTGCTCAATGGTGGCGAAGGAAGCGGCGGCAGGGTTTATGAAGCTGCCCGTTCCTTAAAGGCGGTTGTTAAAGACCGCGCTTATCTCTTGATCACAGAGCGCGTTGATATTGCCGCTGCTGTTGGTGCTAGTGGCGTGGTCCTCTCTGATCAAGGTGGGTATTTCCTTTTTCTTTTTTGTTATAAAGTTTGCTTATTCAAAGGTCATTTTCTTTTTATTGTTAGACTATTTAAGAAAGAATGCCAAGGATAATCGAAATTTGATATTTTTAAATAACTGATCAGTGTTCAATGTAGTAAAGTTGTCCCTAAATTTAAGCTGTTAAATTTGTCACTCACGCCGAATGCATTGATATCTATATCCAACATCATTCTAATTGTTTACTGGGATTCTTTCCTTTACAGGCCTTCCTGCCATTGTCGCAAGAAACACAATGATGGATTCGAAATCAGATTCAGTCTTTCTCCCCTTGGTAGCTAGGACTGTGCAAACTGCAAGTGCTGCTTTAAATGCTTCGAGTTCGGAAGGCGCTGATTTTCTTATATATGATCTGGGTGAACAAGAGTATGTGGATATGGTGATGAAGTCTGTTTATGGGAATGTGAAGATACCTATCTTTATTGTTAATAGTAATTCACAAGCAAAGGTTACATCATATACCGAGGGGTCAAAGATTCTCAAATCAGGTGCTAGTGGTTTAGTTCTGTCTTTGGAAGATTTGAGGTTGTTAACTGATGATGTTCTAAGCCAGTTGTTTAACATTGTGTCAACAATAAATAACAAACCTCGAGGTGAGAGCATAGATGAACTAAAAATGGCTGATATAGATCATGATTCCCATCAGAAAATGGGTGTGGCGGGCTTTATTAAAGTGGAGGATAGAGAAAAACAGCTTATTGAGAAGGAGAGATCAGTATTAATTGAAGCCATAAATGTCTTCCAGAAAGCTGCTCCCCTGGTGATCTTTTAATTAAGCTTTGGTAGTTGAAGTTTTTTTCCATATGGATTATGAGATTGATCAATTCTTTTGTTGTTTACTGTTTTTGTTGAATCTCTATGGTTTTTAAATGACAGATGGAGGAGATATCACTTCTTATTGATGCTGTTGCTCAAATTGATGAGCCATTTCTACTGGCTATAGTGGTAATTGTGTGCTGAACTTCAACAAATTCTGGTTGCAGGGATATACATTGGTATTTGCTCTAAATTTCAAACGAACGCCTATCTCTTTCTTTGAAAACATATACCAATACAGTGACTATTTTATCTTCTATCCACGTTTGATTTAAGGAATATTAAATTAATAAATGCTTAAGTTTATGTCTTTAGTTTTGGTTGATGCATGCTGTGCATATCTCATCGGTCATCAGAGTGGCTTCAGGAAATGGGTCATATGTCATAGGCATTGATATTCAATGGAATGTCACATGAACACTAGGAATAAACTGTATTGACTTTGTTTTACCCTTGTTTGTGTTTAGTACTTGAGTTAAATTCTTATTTAGTTTTATTCTTCTTCCTGTTTTAGTGATAAAACAATAATACTACTTTTCTGTCATATTTGACAGAATGTCCCTTGTGAATCATCTTAGAATCTTCTATTAATTTTGCTTCATTTCAGAAGATATTGACTTGAATGAATTCATTACTTGTGTCTTTTCTTGCCTGTGTTGAGTATTTGTGATTAGATTTTATCTTTCTTACTGTTTCATTATGACTGTTCCCTATTCATTATTTTAAGATCTTGCAATAGCATTGTCCATCTCTAAGATATTGACCTTATGTTTAATGAATGAAATAAATAAGTTCTGCAGTGGGGAAATTAAACATTTTATGGAAATCATTCTTTTATTCATGCGATAAAATTTTGCTTGATGCTGTTAAAGGTTTTGGCTTTTCCATGACTTATTCATTTTTCATTTTCTTTTTTTTTTTTTTTTGAATTCTCAGGGTGAGTTCAATTCTGGTAAATCCACAGTCATTAATGCTCTTCTTGGGGAAAGATACCTTAAAGAGGGGGTTGTTCCTACAACTAATGAAATCACTTTCTTGCGCTACTCTGAGTTGGATGGCAAGGACCTGCAGCGTTGTGAAAGGCACCCAGATGGTCAATTAATATGTTACCTTCCTGCTCCAATTCTCAAAGAAGTGAGTACTTTTGGTTTTTCCATATTTTTTCTCCTGAATTTAAGTTCCGAGATCCTCTGGCTATGTCTGTGGTTGGTTTCTATATAGCTATTAACAATAATTCTTGTATTTGTGCATGCATTGGTACACAAGCATGCTAAATGTGAGTTAGTTTAGAAGCATAAATTCCATGCAGATAGTTGTTAGTTGACTCTTCAAAATTTTGATCCTTTCAGGTGTTTGTGTTCTTCATATTGCTTAAAGTTGCTGGTGAAATTAACTTAGTCTTCTCTATATGTTATAATTGTTAACCTTGTTAGAATTTTATATGATCACCGGATATGTCCACCTTGCTTATTTTTGTTGACCTTGCTGATCTTCATTTGTGTCAAGTCGCCTTTATTTTAAAAAAAATCCAGAATCTCTTTTGATGGATTGTAGACAATTCTTGAATGTGATATGCAATTTTAATTGTGAATAATCCTTGTGAAGATGTTGTATCTATTACATGGGGATTAAATCACTTGCGGTTTTACTTAATAATAGGTAACAGGCACAATTTTTCATAATGATAGCTGCTTAAAAGTGAGCTTACAGTCCATGATACAAATGAAAATTTTGAGATGTATGCTGTGAATCATCTAGGTCAAGCATATCAACCAAATATCAATGAGAAAAAGCAAAGATTGATAATTTGAAAAGTTTAGTGGAAGTAAACACCACTTAGATAGCTGATTATCTTTTTTCTGCTGCTTGTTTTCCTCATTGTATTTTCTTTCCTGGAAATAGGATCTCTGTGCCATTGTATTTTATGAAAATAATTTTGGATAATTCCTCTTGGACACAGATGAATATTGTTGATACACCAGGAACAAATGTGATTCTTCAAAGGCAACAACGCCTTACAGAGGAATTTGTGCCTCGTGCAGATTTGCTTTTTTTTGTTATTTCTGCTGATCGCCCATTAACTGAGAGTGAGGTATGATTATTGCGCATGTAATGTGGAATAGCATACTTCTTATTGTTCTCCATTACTTGTGTGAGACAATAAATTAAAACTCTGTTGGCACTGAGTTCTTTAGTCAATGCTGCTTGTTGTGTAGGAACACAATACTTAATACTATATGGGACTAGAAAAGTTTTTCCATCATACGACTATTGCCATGAAAAAAGTTATTCTACCATTTTGAATTTCTATCAAGGGTATTTTCTTTTAACCTCCAGGGAATTTTTTAAGAACACTATTAACTCTCTTTTTTTTTTAAATTGTTAGGAAATGAATCCAAAGGTTCATTAAGCGAAGGCATAATGCCAGTCTAGATATTAAAGAGTATCCTATGATTTACTAAGATTGATTTGGGAAATGTAGCATTGCCCATAAATGCTTTGGCTTCATGAATATCAATCTTTTTCCTTTTTCACATTTATCTTTTTGAATTTCATAAAATTATAAAAAATAGCCAACTAAAATGGATTAATTCGTAATTTTATGAGTTGATCCAAAGTGAACTGAATTCCTTTTGCATGTGCTGTTCTTATTCAGGTTGCTTTTCTTCGTTATACTCAGCAGTGGAAGAAGAAAGTTGTGATTGTGTTGAACAAAGCTGATCTTTATCAGAATGCTGAAGAGGTTTAATTTCTCACCTCCCAGTGATTGTTAATACCACTATTAAAGTCAGTTACTTCATTTAAGTTTTCCTACCAAGTCACTTTTGGAGTGTTCTATTATTAATCTTTGTTTATTGCAGCTAGAGGAGGCAATTTCATTCATCAAAGAGAATACACAAAAGTTGCTGAACACGGAAGATGTAACATTGTATCCAGTGGCTGCACGATCTGTTCTTGAAGAGAAGCATTCAGCTACTTCTGGTGTTGGAAAAGAATATAGAGACTTATCAGTCTCTGATTCAAATTGGAGAACCATTAGCTTTTACAAGCTTGAAAACTTCTTGTATAGTTTTCTAGATGGATCAACTAGTACAGGAGTGGAGAGAATGAAGCTCAAACTTGGGACACCTATTGCAATTGCAGAGAGAATACTTTCTGCGTGTGAAATTCTTAATAGAAAAGACTGCCAATCTGCAGAGCAGGACTTGACTTCTGCTAATGAAATTGTCAGTGGTGTGAAAGAGTATGTCATAAAGATGGAAAATGAAAGCATCTCTTGGAGAAGACGAACTTTGTCAATGGTATACTTTTAGAAAGGGCTCGTTTTTTATGTATTGCCTGTGGAGTTTTTAAATGCAACAAGTGGGGTGAAAAGATTGTCATGTGACTTTTTTTTTAATCAGTTTTTTTAATATACTCTAAAGGGATACATAACAACCCTCTAACCCTGTTGGTGGAGTTAAAACGGCGATGTGATAATTTCTTTTTAGAAATACAAACTTTTTGAGTCAGAGGCAAGTATGTGACTTTATTTCTTTTGCATGGTATTGCAGATTGATACTACAAAATCACGTATTCTGGAGCTCGTAGAATCTACCCTACAGTTATCAAATCTTGATATCGTTGCCTTATACTTTCTCAAGGGGGGTTCGTCAGCCACACTGCCAGCCACTTCAAGGGTTCAAAATGACATACTTGGTCCTGCACTTGCTGATGCACAGGTGAGTTGATGTCTCAAACCTATTCATGATCTGGTTTGTGGGAAAATCAGATGTCTACTTATAGTTATAGGAGCCCATCGTTTTACAGCTTCATAAGTTATTTTCTTATGACTCTAGATTTATTGTTTGTAACTGCATACAGAACTTGCTTGGAGACTATGTGACATGGTTACAATCAAATAATGCTCGTGAAGGAAGGCTTTATGAGGAATCTTTTGAGAAAAGATGGCCATCCCTGGCCTACTCAGACAAACAGTACCATCTAGAGACCTATGAACTGCTAAGAAAGTTGGATCAACTCAGCCTGAGAGTGATAGAGAACTTCAGTGCCAATGCTGCTTCCAAACTATTTGAGCAAGAAGTTCGTGAAGCGGTGAGTAAAGAATTCCTCAAAATCTAACATAAAATGAAAGTTGTCTACAAGCATAGGCGGGGTTGACATTTGGTCAAGAGATATAGGTGAAATTTTTAGATTTTTGAAGTGTGGTATGGACATTTTAAGTGAGTCTTTTGTAATATTTTGGTTCTTTTGTTGGGAGCTACCCATGGGTAGCAACATGGAAGTAGGGGGTGGCTATGGGTGGGAAACAGGGTGTTAATTGGAGGGTGAAGCCAAGTGGGTGTGGAATGTGATTTTTCTTGAATAGAGGATTTGAGGTAGGTTTAACTTATGCTAATCTATTAGCTTTTGGTTTATATGAAACATGCAAATTTCTTATTAATATATACACTAAGTTACTAACTATACATTTCATGTTATCATTTGGTATATGAATACATCATATAAATAAAAATAATAATAACAAAAAAATGCAACAAAGTGTGGATTCCACCGTAGTAACAATAAAACTTGTCCAAACTAATAAGGGAAGATACTGGTAACAAAGCAGTAATCTCTCTGATGCCTCAATGTAAGGCGTTGGACAGAAACTCTAACCATATTAATATTGGAAGGGTGGCACGCAAGCATGTCATAAAGCAACTCTATACTCCTTGTTCTTCCTTTTACTGGGTTATTGATGATAGTCAACGTTTTCATTGTATCATTGTTTATTGTAATTGGATGTTTAAGACAAAAAAAGTTTGAAGAAACTTTACAAAGAATGAATGTTTAACGTCCCTACAAAAACTCCAGATGGCCTATTGTTCTTGTTTGGGCTCCCATTTTTTTGCATAGCATGGGAAAAAAAATGTAATGTATCCATTTATGTAATTCTTGGGTTGCCAGAAAGATTATATTGATAGTTGTTTGTAATTGAACATTCTTTGGAACTTCTTTTTTAAAATGTCTGCCCTTTTAGTGTTGCTATAGTTTGATTAATTTCCTGGTGCTAAATTTTGTTTTTTTAATTGTTAATTTAAATATGATTCAGTTTACCTGAATGGAAATACTTTTTTTCAACCTCAGTTTTTGGGGACTTTTGGCGGACTTGGAGCAGCTGGTTTGTCTGCTTCGCTTCTAACGTCCATATTACCTACCACTTTAGAAGATCTTCTTGCTCTAGGCCTATGTTCTGCTGGAGGGTATGTATCATCCTGAATTTTTATTTTCCTGTTTCTTCTTGATTTATTTGTTTTCTTCAAGCTGCATATCTTAGTTTTCCTAAGAAAGTTGGTAAGCTGTGTGACTTAAGGTCTCTACTGTATTAGACCTATTCACCTTTCTCTCCTAAGTGACCTACAACTCGGCAGCCAGACTTCGTTCTGTATGCTATTAGATTTTACTCTCTTTGCCTATAGTGATCTACAACTTGGTTACAAGACTTTTTTTTGTATGCTATTGGCTTTTTCTTTCTTTTGACATTAATAATTCAGAATGGATTTCATATTTTCAATCAGTTATTGAATGGATACTCTTATGATAGGTTTATAGCCATTTCAAATTTCCCAGCCCGTAGACAAGAAATGATAGAAAAGGTGAAAAAGACAGCAAATGCATTGGCACGGGAGCTTGAAGATGCAATGCAGAAGGATCTTTATGAAACTACTGAGAATTTGGAGAAGTTTGTGAGAATTATTGGGAAGCCTTATCGAGATGCAGCACAAAATAGACTGGACAAACTTCTAGAGATAAAAGATGAACTTTCAAATACGAGGGAAACACTTCAAATGCTACAAGTCGAAATCCAAAATCTTCATGTATCATGACACCAATTTTATTGAGTAGATTTGTTTCCAGCGTTTTTCCATCCATTTCTACCCTCTGTTCTTGGGGGTCAAGTGCCGTACAATATCTTCATGTAATAACAAAAAATAAGCAATTTTCAGCCAAGTGCCCGCATCTTCGACTGGCCAGCAGGTGTCATTGAATGTTCCAACGGAATACTTTAGGAATTGTATTCAGCTGCAGATATAAGCAGTGTAAGTAAGCATCTTATGCTGCTTCAACATTTTAGATTGGATGAGAGGTTTTAAGTGAAGAATAGTGGATGCTTTGAATTAGAATTTGATTAAAGATTATTCTTTTTGTCATGTTTATTTTATTTACTTTATATTTATATGTGAAAGTCTTCCTCTAATTTTGTCTTCGGCACTTAGTAGGAACATATGTCTCAGATCAATATTTATTTCAGCCGGTTCTTGGCGCAGGATATGCCTATTTTAAGAAATATTTTTATTTTAAATATTTGAATAGTTATTTATGTTGTATGAATTTATATTTGATACACGATCAGTATATAAATTTTATACACTATCGATGAATCGAATGATAATAATTCATTAATAAATAAATATTAATCTTTAAAATAAATATAAATAAATTAAAATAATTTATTTATTAATGAGATATTATTATTTGATTCATGTCATTAATGAGTTATCATAATTTGATTTATTGATAATGTATAAATTTTGATATATTAATAATATATCAAATATAAATTTTGATGTTATTTTTTAATAAAATAGATCGTGATGATAAAAATAAAAGTTGCAAGTATTAAAATTTAAAATTTAAATTTAAAAATATACTTTTTAAAAATAATTGCATTACTAACTAAATTAAATTTTGGGATCGGTTCATATTATAAGTTTTGACATCAATTGTAAAAATCTGTTGTGCTTCATGATTAAGACATAATCTAAAATAGTAGTAGTATAATTAAATAATAGTGAGTGTCGGTTCAGATTCGAGCTTAATGGGTCAACAATGATATCCATGTGCCGTCCATAAAGTTTGTTGTCAACCCCTTGTATTTAATATTTGGTAAATGAATAAACATAGCTTCAACCATTAATCAGAAGAGCATGTTGGCTTGATTTAAACTTTAATTTAATTGTTTTAAGAAACTAGCTTATAAAACAATGGAAGAAATAGTCAAAAAAGTTATGCACTAAATCAATGCGCGTCCTGGGTTGACATGTTTACTTAAGCCATGAATTTTGATTCCATCATTTAAAGTGGAAAGGAGACAAATAAACAAAACATGTCTTCAATGAGGGAAAGAGCAAAACAGACCGGACTTTGGGGTTTTTTTTTTTGAACTTCGACAAATGGCAAATGGGGCATGACCATGCCTTTTCCTTAATATTTAAGAGTCTCTCTTCTCCGTTGGTTGGCTAACCTAAAAAGAGAGCAAATAAGTTAAAAAAGGGAGATTTTGAAAGCAAATTCGATGGTTAGGGGAAAGAGTGTGTGCAATTGGCACATATTCTTTGTCACTCTCCCTAGCCTATATTAAACCTATCCTAGAGCTTTATCCTAGATCCACCAAGACTGCCCAAGCAACTCTACTTCTGTTGATAAATGAGAGAGGAGGAATTCAGATCACTGAGACAAAATCTTTGTACAAAAAGATCTAAAGAGTACTCCAAATAATTATACATTTTAAAGAAAAATTATTTCAATCACTCGATCAAATGTTGAAATCCCTTTTACATAATTGTATTATTGTTTTTTTTTTTTATTTGTTTGGAATCACACGATGATAATTCTAGTCACCACTTACTACATATCAATATCTTTCTAAATGCATGCATATAAACATGTTGTAGCTATTAAAGGATGGATTTGGTTGATTGAACAATGTATCGCATATTTACACAGCTTTTTATAAAGTTTTTGATTGCTTGTTTTAGAACTTTGGTCAGGTATGAGTTGGCCTTCCATGTCCGCCAATGCTTGAGAAGGGGGCGGATAATCCAAGGAAATTTTGGTGATCACACTCATTCATTTGTATATTCCCTGCTTGCCTGTCTCGTTGATTTACTATGGAATTTTGATTGTTCCAAGTTGGGATTCCAACATGCAGCTAATTTTGACTTTTGGTTCAAGTTGCATTCTTGTAATAATTATTATGGAGGTACGAAGCAAATTTAAGGATTATACTTAAATAAGGGGTAAGTTTAAATTACATTTATAAGTACATTATCAACAACAATTAAATAAAAATTTAAAAAACGAGATAAATATTAAAATTAAAACAAATTAAAACTTAAAAAATTAAAAAAATAGAATGAAATTTCTCTTTTTAAAAATAAATACTTATTGTTTGATTCGGATGAGAATGATATTTTGAATTACTTTTTTTTAAGAATTGAATTTGTATAAAAAATTTCGTGTTTAAAAATTAAAACAAAAAATAATCAAATAAGATTAAAAGTGTGAAGTATTATCTTTGAAAAATTTTAAATAAAAAAAATCTTTTGATTCTTTTATTTTTTTAAAAATTGTTCTAATAATCTTGATGATTTGATATTAAATTTAACAAAATTGTACCTCAAAACAAAAGAAAAAAGGAAAAAAAAATTATATAGCATTATGTGGTTCTGATATTTAAGCATAGCAAATCTTTTGATTCCATTAATTTCTATATAATGAAAAATTCTCCAGCTTACGTTTTTGTCCATTGTTTCCTCATTAGCGAACAGCAGCATGAACCATTGCATGATGATTAATGGTGCAACAACGAGGGTCTCCCTATTCATGGATAAATACGAGGACCAAACTAAATAGAAAAGAGGAGGGCTGCAGCCCTATTATCAGAAAACCATCTTTTCAGTTCTTCCCTTTAACATTAGGTACCTTCATGTCTTTCGGTGGAGGATGAATAGGAGACAAATTAAACATGCTTTTTAATTGCTACTAGATAAAGATATCAATGGATAAAATATGAAACGGATAAAACAGTTTTTATCTTCATTCTTAATTTTTTATATTATATTTATCCACATATCTTTATTCAAAAAGTGTTTCAAATCTATTTCTATTTTTATTTTTGTAGATTGTTAATCGATATGGGTAATTTTTGTACCTTAATTTTTTAAAAAAATTAAATTAAACTTTTTAGTTTTTTATTTTATTTTGCATATCTAAATAATTTTTTATAAATATGTATATTTTAAATACAAATATATTAATTTTAATAAATCTAAAATAAAATTTATATTATTAAATAAAAATTAATTTATTAAATATATGAATATATATGATATGGGTATAACATGGGTACTATATTACCTGTTCCCATACATATATCCTATATCTTATAAAAAAAAATTAAAACTATACTTATCCCTATTTTCATCTCTAAAATTTAATATCTATCTCCATTTTCATTAATATAAAAAAGTTTAAGTAAAAGTGACACCTAGCTTTTACATGATTGGGTAAATTACAACTGGGCATATGTTCCAGATGAGCCCCCATCTTCCACAAATCTCGCATGCTTTCCATTGTTAATTACTGATTACTTGTTTTTTTTTCTTTTTACTTTTTGCATGAAAAGTAAAAAAAAAAAAAAAAAAATAGAAGCAAAAGCATGATCAAATGAAACCTAAGAAAAGTCGATGCCTCCTCCCTTGATGACAACAATAGCAAGAGAGTTGTTACCATGAACTTGTGACTTATATATGATCGTCTTGAGTGTTTGATTCTTAAAATGAACGAACGCGACTTAAAACATTTAAAAATGTTTTAAACTTAGAAGTGAATAGTGATTGTAAGCATTTAATTGACAACAACTTTTGATTAATGTCACTCACATTCATATTAGTGTTTTTGTAAATTTGTAATAACTTTCCGATGCCTATAATTAATTTCTATTTTGGTGTTAATGTATGCTCAAGTAATTGTGATTAAAAACTTTATATCTTACTAGAAAAAAATGCAAATATATTTATTTTCAATTCCCCATCATTCGATCTTAAAGAAGAAAAGAAATAAGAGTATTTTTTTATATTAAAATTTATACGTATTTCTTGCTTGTTTCAAGTTTTTTGTAGATTGATAAGGTTCTTATGAGTCATGTGATATGATGAGTCATATAAACATGTATTTATTTGAGTTGAAAATATTTTATGAGACTAAAAAAGAATGAAAAGCCCATGAGTAAGGTTTTATTTGGGAGTAAGGGTTGATGATTGATTTGTTTGTAATTTTTTATAATTAGTTAATATATTTTTTTATTTATGAACATAAGCTTGTTAAGTTGAATCACGTCAAATTATTATTTTTATATGATTGATTAATTATTTGATTATATTTTTATTAAATTATTTAATTAAATTAAAACTTTTTAATTTAACAACTGAAAACAAAATTATAATGATCATAATATTTTCTCTTACGCTTAATAACAATGTGGGTTTAAGGTTTATATATAGAGCATATAAAAAAATTTCTCCGCGTCCAAATCAACATTATAATTAGTGAAATTAAAAAAAAAAAATTGTAGTTAGTGGAAAAGATTTTCTTTCCCTTTATGCCAAAGATTTTGAAATAATTTGAAGGATAAAAGTTTTGTTACTAGCATTTTAAACCAAACAAACCAATCCGTACTCGTTTTTGGCATTTACTTAACAAATAAAATATAATATTTGTCCATTACAAAGGTCAAATGAAAAAGCAAGCTGATGTTGCGTTGCTTTGCTCCACATAGAAAAATAATAATAGCGGAAGTATTAATTTGAAGTGAGATTTAAGGTTGTGATATGTGAGCTTTTATGATTGCTGAAAGCAAAGTTGTGGAAGACCTCTTGCCTTAGAAGACATTAAAAGTAAAATTTAGTATCACTGCCAATATGTTTAGTGTTTTTCTCATTTGGCCGGCTGTTTTACATATAATTTCAGTTGATCACACTTACTAAGAGGATTATTGGTCTCTTTCTAGCATCCAATCCAATTAAAATAGGATTTTGCAAACATTACTCAACATTTATTAATTTAGAGTCTGTTTGGGATTTCGATTTGAAAACTCCCATCACATAAAAAATGCATCTTATGACTGAATACTTAATCTTTCAAACATAAATATTCGCAAGATATTTGCAATTTTGCTGTGTGAGAATTGGGAAAATGAGGGCATTCTCATAAATGTTGCTATGAAAAGGAAGTAACTTCAAAAAATCTAATTTAAAACTTCCAAATTAAATTATTTTGTTTCCAAATCCTATTAATCAACCTCAGAGAAAGAGAAAAGAGGAGGCAGAAAGGAGGAACAAAAATATATTTTTTTTTTGAGTGCAAAATAAATTATCATGAGTAGCATGCAAACTCATATATCAGTTTCATTTTGTGAATTAAGGGTGAATGTAACTTTTAGTTATTGAAGAGCAAAGAATTACAGGTTTCGTGTCCTTTCACTTAAATGCAATTTATGTTTGGTTTGTTTAACTAGAATTGAGAGTGAATAACATTAAAAAAAAAAAAAAAAAAAAAGGCAAACTTTTTCAACGGGTAAAACTGTAAAAAAAGATTCAATCCTTGTCCCTCTGGTTGCCTTTTTTTTGTTTCCTTTTAATAGTAAAAGAAATGCACAAAAAGACTTAGTTGAAATTGTTTAAATAAAGTATGAGAAATTTTTATTTAAAAATAATTAAATAAAAAATAAAATTGATAGATTAAAAAATCTTATTACATAGATTAAGTGTATAAAATTTGAAAAAATTTTAATAAATTTTGATATAATTTTTAGATAATCATTTTTAGTAAAATTTTGATAGAATTTTTAATTTTGAACAAATATTAATCAAATTTGAATTATAAATGATATTTTCAATAATGTTTTTATATATTATTGATTTTCTCATCGAATTCTATCAATCTATCTATTTGAATTTTTTATTAAAATTTTAATTGAATAATTTATATTAAAAATTTTATGAATTTCACTAAAAAAACTTTATTTTAGTTTTCCTTAAAAACACACATCTCATAATAACTTATTTTGGTTAAAATAAAATTTTAAAGATAAAATCATATATACACATAAGTAGGAATTTGGCTTTGGGTATTTTTGCAACTAGGTTTTTTTTTTTTTTTTTAAAACCTAAAAAGAGAAAGAAGCTAAACTTATGGTCATTTCTAACAGCAAAGATGTCTTTAAAAATTTTCAATAAAAGTTTACCACAATTTACTTATACTTTATCTCTTGTTTCTCTTTTTGCTATGGAATGTGTGGTAGAGTGAAAAATTTTTAGTGGGCTGAACAGGTTATGACCTCTCCTGTGTCTCCAAGTTCTGCACCTATAAATCATCCCCCAACCCTTTCACCTTTCTTTCATGTTCACCGCTTTGTTTCTTGCCTCTTTCTCTCCCTCCCTCAAGCCACCCATCTTCTTTTACAACCAAATAACGAATATATTGGTTTTTTTTAATAGAGGTTTTCTCTTTCATCTACATCCCCCCCTCCCCATTTGATCTCAGAAAACTCCAAAAAGAGGTGAGGAAAAAATTTTTTTTTTCATTTAAGCTCCCCTGTTTCCTCTGTTTCCCAACATTTTGTTGTGGACAAGAAAATGTCCTCAAGTGTCTGTCAAGGGTTGCAATCATGCCTGGATCCAAGGCTCTTCGAATCACGTTTTTTGAGGCTGAAACTGGCTCCACCGAAAACCAAATTTCCTGGCTCCATTGCTCCTACGTCCTGTTTCACTAACCCTGCCCCTAATGAGCCCGAACCTATGCCGTATAATGAAGAAAAAAACACCACCATCACTAACAACAAGAACAACAGCAGTGATTGCAAACTGATAGGCAATCAAAATACTGATATGGGTGGCTGGAGTTTCCTCCAGTCCCTCGCCAATGCCAAAGATTCTACCGAGCGTGACAAAATTTACGTGCACCCTCTTGTTAAGCGTTCAGCTTCTACCCTAAGTGAAAAGAGTCTTGCAATGTGCACCGAAAGCTTAGGTAGTGAAACCGGAAGTGAAGTTAGCGAGAGCAGCGATGACATTTCCTTGCTTTCATTACAAAATGTGGTTTGCAATCCATCAAAACCAAGGGAAATTTTGGTGACTAGAAAAATAAGTCGTAGCAGCAGCTTTCCACCTCCTTTGACATCCATTAGCGGTTCAAATGGTGTTCAAGTCAAGTCTCACCGCCAAGGCGGCCGCCTAGTTCTTCAAGCCGTTACTATCCCTCCTTGTCAGAGTTACTTCCGTGCAGAAAGAAGTGAGGGAAGGCTTAGGCTTTCCCTTTTGAAGGATGCTACCCCCATTTTCGACGATGACGAAGACGTGGAAGAGGAAGACCAAGAAGAGGTAGTAGAAGAAGATGAACATGGTGAACTAGTTTATGAAGAAAATGGAGTAGTAGAAGGAGAAGTTGAAGAAGGAGAAGAGGAAGAGTGTTACAGAGGAGGTGAGGATATGGAAGAAAACAGTGGGAATGTTGGAGGTGAAATTGGGACAGGGAAGTTGCCAAGGCCAAGCAGCTGCAAAGAAAGTGGGCATGGGCACAAAGGTTTGCTTAATTGGAAGCCATTCTTGGTGGCTACTTAAAAGCTAAAAGTTGGAAAAATTTTCTCAACCCAACGGAGAGAATTACTCTTGTTGAATTCCCTAATTACCCAATTTTCTCCTTTTCACTTTTTATTTCTGATTTTCAGTTAGTAAAAGCTTGAGATTACCGTACCATGAATTTCCTAAAATATGCTTATGGTAGTTATTATCGTTATGGGACCACCTCGTCCTTCCCCCCCCTTCTCTCCTATGTTGCTTTCTCACTCTCCTCCTTTCTGCTCATGCTTACTTTTTAAATTTTATTTTATGTTCTCCATTTTCTATATATCTTGTTTATCTTTCCCGTACAAAACTTTAATTACTTCATTCCATGATCAATTAATACTTTAAGCAAGAATTACACAAACAAATGACATCTTTTGTGAATTATACATACCGACATTAATCGTGACAAAACTTGCATGAATATATATTTTTTTAATTTGTGAAGTTTTTTTAATGATTAAATAAAAATTTTAAATCGATAAATTAATAAAATTTTAATATAAAAATTAATAATATGTAAAAAATTATTAAAAGTATTGTTTAAAATTTAAATTTGATCGATATTTAACAGTAAAATTTATGTTAATATTTTTATTAAAAATATTTATCTAAAGATTTATTTATTTTTTTAAAATTTTACACATTTAATTTATATAATGAAACTTTTTAATCTATTAATTTTAATTTTTATTTAATCATTTTTAATAAAAAATTTCATAAATTTTTACCTCAAAATTTCATTTAAGTTTTTTTCTCATATATACTTATAAAGTATATAGTAGCCTAATTTTTCAACCACCAAGAATATTGAATTGGCTGGTCCCAGCCAAGCACGAGGTTCCTCTATTTTTTTGTGCTCATCGCTTTCATAGGGCATATGTTGTTGGACCATAATTGAAGTAAAGGAAATACGAGATGGAAAAAATTACTGCTATGAACTTTCAAATATATGGTACAAAAACGTGACTTGCATTGCGAAATGTTACTATAAACTAGTTTTCCTACTTGTTTTAAGAGATATTTTAACAGTAAAAACTCAAAAAATGGGTCAAACTTTTTAAGACATTAACCCAAAATAAAGAAGATGATGCTTTTTTTTTTTTTTTTTTATGCTAGATTGCTACTAGTAATTATGGCCCTGAGACAAACATGAAGGTGGCATTGAACATGGGTTGATTACAATGAACGTGATTGGTTTCAGTAGTAGGGCAAGATGTAGCATCTTCCTCATTGGATAGTTAGAGATAAATTGGAATAAAATTGTAGCGACCAAAAGAAATTCAGCCGTACTTTTGCACTCGATCTCTCACTGTGGAACACCCCAGCCGCATTTGACTTTTGATTTGAATTGAAATTCCCGTACGCGTACAGACAGTCGTATATCATGATCTCTAGTAAACGTACACCATCAAATTTCCAAAAGTTCGTGGTCCTCCCATTCATCTTTATTGTTTCATCAATTGTCAAATGGCTGGTTATGGACGGATGGGGTTGATTGGAAGGATCAAAGCAGGGTGTCCGAAAATACTATACTAAATTACTGTCTAATTAAAGTTGAATGGACAATGAACAAGGTTGGCACTTGGCAAGGAGGGTGGGGTTATGGTAGTTAATTTTCAGTGAGGAGGAGGGGGCAAGTTGGGGGGCGTACGATTGGAGTACGAATGGTAACTGTCAAGCTTCGGACCCACCAAGGCAACATGCAACTAACCTCATTACACATGATCATCCATGTGCGTCGATAGCTACTGCTTCGCCTATTTTACTCAGATTCCAATAAGTTAAACCTTCTTTCTAAGCCATTGCTGTTGCTGATGGGCATGATTCATCAGGTTTCTTCTTCATGTCATGTGACAGACAATTTCTTTCACTTAAAAACGACCCCACAATAACATCTACTTCAAGAAAATTGTCCACTATGTAAATTTCCTCGTGTCCATAAATCTTTTTGTGAAATTACTTTGAAACCCACTTTTAGAGCTGAGAACCAAGATAAAAATGATATAGGTCGAGAATTTGATTTATGGAAAGAATCAAGGTAGATATTGAAATTAAATATCATTTGTACACAGCCATTAAAAAAAAAAGGGCCTTTGAGTTATAGACTTGGAAGGGCATTATACAAAATTCGGATGTCAATAGGAGGTAACTTTTGGGATAGGAAATTGATTGGTTGGTCGGGTCAAGAGAAAGATAAAGAGGGCCAGAGGGGTGAGGGTTTGGTTAACATTCCTTAAAAGAGGAGGGCAGTGTCCCATCGTGGAGTTTGGCTATCCATACATTAAGGTTACTTTCTCTTTTTTTTTTTGGCTTAGACGGGGGATGCGGAATTTCTTAAACATTGGCATATGCATCATTGTGTGTTAACATCTTGTGCTTTGAGAGCCATAGAGACCCTTCCCTTAAGCACATATTCTCTCACCATATCACACCGCCAGAAAGCAAAATCTTTAGGCAATCAGAATGTCTCCGCATTTTTTTTATACTGTCACACAAGGGAAAAAAATCATATATATATGTTCGCTAAAAAGTATGCTTAGCTGATATTAAGGCGTCTCCTTTAGTTAGCTAAGCAGGGATTCGAAATTTTTGAAGATCATTCACTTTTCTTTTCAGCACAGCATAAAATAATATGAATGGTGCAGCTTGCAGAGATTACTCCACGTGCAAAAACGAACAAAAAAAAAAACCTATAATATTTCAATTGTTTTGGTTATCAAAACAGCATTTGAAAAATTAAATTTTGTGTAGTTTTTTTTGGGTAGGAGAAGCCATTTGATTGAAAGCAAATGGGGGAAGTCTGATAGGATGCAGATGAAGGAAACTAGCTAGCTATATTAGCTAGGAAGGTGAAAGGATTTTGGCTAGTTTTGAGATGATAGGAGAGTTGAATATATATTTTTACCATTAAATTCAATGCCATCCTTTTGAGATTCCACAAATTAAGTGAAACAAACGTCGATATCGAGTCCGTGTAGTAAGGACTTATTAGCAAAAGTTTTTTGAAGCTTTTGACGGGGTGAGAATTCATAAATTTTTCTACAAAATTTTGGTAGTGAATACTTGATTTTCAAGTTCGATTCAAGATAATTTAATTATAAAAAAATAAATATTTAATAGGATCCAAAGTTTCAAATTAAAGAACTCACATCTCTTTGTGATATTATAAGATTTCAAAAAAAAATTAAGTTATTTTTAAATTTGATTTGAATAAAAAAATTATAAATTAATTATTATTCTTTTAAAAAATATGTTTGAAAGTGACACAACTCAATTATATATTTTTGTTGCTAAAAAAATTGACTTGAATAAAAAATTATTTAAGTCATTTTTTAACAAAAAATATTTTAAATAATCCCCTTTAAAAAAAATAAAAGAGATTATTTAAAACATTTTCAAACCAAAAATATTTTAAATAATTTTTAATATTTTTTAAAGGAATTATTTAAGATATTTTTTGTTAGAAAACACCTTAAATAATTCTCTTTATTTTTTTATAAGGGGATTATTTAATTTTTTTTGTTAAAAAATATCTTAAATAGTCTTCTTATTTTTGTTAAATGAAATTATTTAAAGTATTTTTGGTTGAAAAATACCTTAAATAATCTCATTTAAAAAAATAAAAAGGATTATTTAAAGAATTTTTAAATCATAAATACCTTAAATAATCCCTAATATTTTTTTAAAAAGATTATTTAAAGCTTTTTTGGTTAAAAAATATCTTAAATAATCCCTTTCATTTTTTATATGGAGATTATTTAAGGTGTTTTTCAATAAAAAATGTCTTAAATAATTATATTTTTTAAAAGAAATTATTTAAGACATTTTTTGTTAAAAAATATCTTAAATAATCTTCATTAAAAAATAAAAAAAATTATTTAAGACGCTTTCCAACTAGAAATTCCTTAAAAATTTTTTAATATTTTTAAAATAAAAATCATTTTAAATAATTTTTAATTTTTTTATTTATGATATTTTATAAATAAAATAGCAATAAAATAAAAAATATATTTTTTGCTACTAAAGGCATCATTTGTTATTTAAATATTTATTATTAATAAAAATTAATAAAAAATTATCCTAATATGTGTCAAAAAAATTACGATAATTATTTAAAAATTAATATATGTGAATTCTTTTTAATCAAATAAATGAATTTAAATACGAAATATTTTTAAAATAAAAAAATCAAGTATTACATATTTTAAAAAATTATATTTTCTTTTAAAATTTAAGATTTTACTAACGACATATTCCCTTAGTAAAAGAAGTCAAACCCTTTAGCTGCTTGTGTGGGATTTTTCCTCAACTGATGAGGATGTCAGCATCGCAAATTTGATAGCCCTTTTTTCAAGTGATCATTTACTTTTGGTTGATTTACTCAACCTAACCCAGCAGAAGCAGTTATTTTAGAGAATTTGAATGCGCTATTACTTTTTTTTTTCTTTTTAATATTTTTTCAAACTGTGTTTTTTTAGTTTCGAATCTCATTGTTAGAAATTTTTTTATGAATGATCTATAGATTTAATTTAAATTTTTTTATTAAAATATTAAAAAAATTATTAAACTATTTAATTTTATTTAAATAAACTTTTATATTTTCATTGTATTTATATAAACTTTTATTTCGAGTAAAATATTGGTTTATATTAAGGGTTTGTTTAGATAAAAATTAAAATTTAGGATTTATTTGAATAAAAATTAAAATTTAAAAGTTTATTTGTATATAATAAAAGATTAAAGGTTATTTAAATAAAATGATAAAGTTAAAATTTTTTTTAATTATTTTAGTTTAAATCTTTTTAAAATCTGCAGTATCTTATAATTGAAAAGTCTACCTTCACCCCAAACCATTTTTTATCAAAAAAAAAAAAAAGAAATATAAAAAAAAATGTTGAGTAATGTTCCTTTTGCAAATCAATTTTTCTTGGAACTTGATCCCATGTACATTCCTTAATCAACAAACAAATTTGAAAAATTATTCATCACTAGAATACGATATACAGGAACTAGGAATGAAATTCCTTTTTAATATTAATTCAATATTATTTATAAATGTTAATTAATATAAAAAAAATCAATGAATGCCGAAGGCCTTGTCAGGTTATTGCTTTGATAAGGCAAGCCAAGCGATCATCGGTCTTCAATCTATTGAAATTGTTTCTTTGTTTTGGTTCAATTATTGACTCCA